TAGATACTTTCCCTTAAACCATCCTCTGATTTCATGGATGTGTTTCAAGCATAGGCTAGGTATAAACAATATAAATTCAATAAACTTAATCGACCAAAACTAAGTCTTAACTTAGAATTAGGGCATTACATCTATACTTCTTGCCCCCCTCCCCTTCAAGCATGTATGCGCAGAAACTTTTCCCTGTGGAAAACATTAAAGGCACCTGGGTTCATTAATGCTTCTCACTTAGTTCAACCAACACATTTGTTCATCTACCCAGCACATAGTATTTTCTTTCATACTGTCTACACGTTTCTCGTAAAATGTTGACTAATTTTTTGCTCGCATCTATCTACTAGATTTAACCAATTTAGACAGTTTGCCAAGCGTTCACCACATTTAAAGTGCCCTCTGTCGACTGCTTTCTTGGGTGAAAAAGAAATTATGTATAGTGACAGAATTCTTATTTGAGCAGCCTAACAAAAAACTTCTCCTTAAAAAACGCTTCTCTATTTTCTCACAAATTAGAAGCAGACCGAATTGGAAGCATACTAATACGGTCCCGACACCGACAGGTCAAATTCTCCGGTGTGGACACTGGATGGGGAGCTTGGCACTGACTCGGACACCAACTGGTGATCGTAGGACTTAACCTGTTTCCTTGGCAACCTGAAATGACGGGTACAGCAGCAGCAGATGCGCTTCATGTACGGTGCAAGGGCTGTACGAACCTCTTCACGTCGAACACAGAACATTATGAACACAATCAAGCCCTAAAATGAACAGCACAAGGAAGTTCCCGTTAAATTGATCGAGAATCCATTACCGTTTGTATAGCTGAGGGACACTAGTAAAACGTTGCCATGGATTGACCTTCAATCAAATGCTTATGAATTAGACTGTAAGGACCAAAGTTATCTGTGACAGACCCTTACCTGGAAGGAATTGGCCAGACAGAAGATCAGCTGAAATGCTTCAGTTGCCTCTTCAATAGCCAGGAACCCAAAACACCAGGTCAGTCCCATGAGGACAGAGATACCCACAGCATTCTGGAGGCGTTTGGAGATCTGCTGGGAGCGTGATACCTCTTTGACGTTTAGGAGACTGCGCATGACCAAGACAAAGGTGACGATGTTATGGATGAGGATGAGACCGATGGGAGTAAGGAGACCAATGTACAGCACAAGACCAGGTCGCAGGAAACAGCTGAGAAATTAATAAAGAAAAGGAAGAGATTCATTGGACTAGACAAGCTTGAAAAAAATCATTCATTTAGCAAATAGGATTAAGGTAAACAGACGCAATATGGAGGATTCACAATACCATGAGCCACCAAGAGCTGCCATAGAAAAGCCATTTTTTCAAGCTCACAGCCAACAAAAAGTGGCTAAACACTACTGGATATTCAACCCTGGCAAAACAGCAGAACCATTCAAACTCCACACACAGCACACCTGGTGAAAAGAGCTTTTGCTGTGTTAATGCCCAATAAATGAGGCCTTTCGAGCCGTGGCAACTTCTCCATGGTGATCGCCCATTATTTGATTTGAGATATGGGACCCTCAAAATGCGTCTACCCCCTCCACACAATATCAGAAAGTGTACTTACTAGTGCTCGTTCTGATAGTGATCTGTGGCTGCTGCCAATGTAATAATCAGAACTATCAATGGAGATCCTGAAGGGTAAATCAAGTGAAAGCAAAATGAAAACAGAGATACTGTTGACTGTCAGATGCTTGGTTAATTGAAATGGCACCCTAGTATTACAAAAGTTCGGTTCGCTTTTAACGCAAACAGGAATAAAAACCTGACCATAAGGCATATCCACGCTACTTATGACAAAACAGACAAAATGTGCTGATAAAAACTTACCCCAAGCAATGAGGCTCGCCTTTAGCATGTATCGACGAGTGTCTTCTGGGAAGACCTTCACTGTGCTGACGTACATGTTCCTGGCTTCAACGACCATCCACATCATAGTGGATAGAGTCAAGTAGTGTAGTAAAGCAGCAACAAACACACAGCCCCCTCCAGAGCCCTACATAATTTAAAACAAATAATAAATGAGCTGTTTTAGTTTATACCGTCAATAAATTCCCATTACTATCAGGAGAGTAAATGGCAAAATCTTATTTATTTTATAATAAACCTAACTTGCAAAACATCTATCCAACCTATCAGACACAATATTATATTCTTTAACATGATTGAAAAAACTGCAAAATGTACGTAGAATGAAGAATACGTCTGAGCTTACTTAATAATCTTTGTTTGACATGATGATGACACAATATTAAGTTGAGGCGTATACTTACAATGGCATTGTCTACACCAGCAAGGAAGACGAGGTACAACAGCAACAAGGAGAAGCAGAAATGCATGAAAATCTGACGAGATTTACTACTGCGGAGTTTCCTGTCAGTGGAAAAACATAACTTATGGTGTACAAACTAAAACAAACATTAATGAAATTAAATTTGGTATACCCCTTCCAAAACATGACACATTTTAGTCAGCAACCATATGTTTTTATATACATTGTCGATTTCTCCTGGTAGCCTGGGTATATGTTGTACAACGGTTACCAATTCACCTGTGTTTGGCATTGATATGGCTTTGTTCAAACTATTGCTCACATGGTAGTAACCATGAATCCCACACAAAACCGTCAGGTTCACAGCGTCATCCCTATACTAAGAAAGCCACCTGCTGGCAGCTGCATCCACGTTACACAGCCACAGCTAAAGAATATCAGACTATGTCTTACCTGATAGCAAGATACACAACCAGTGTAATACCCAGAGCTATGATGGACAACACACAGCCAACCTGGCTGATTACACTAAGCGCCCTGGCGAGGGCCGAGTCTTCTACTGGACCTTTCACGCTCTAAACAAACGAAACAATCCAAATGTAATTTAGCTTATTTACGTATGTCCCTGATTTCTTGGGAAGGTAATCACAGTGGGATGAAGTAGTTTCAAACTTTTATATTAAGAGCCAGGTAGAGGTTGGTTTCAGTGAGGTATCCAGGTGTAGTGTGGGGCGGGGGCAATCTGGAATTTTTCAAAAAATAATTGTCCAATTTTTTTTGTAAGTCACAATCACTAAATTCTCCTCCTGAAAAGTGAAAGCACCATCTCAAACGCAGTGGCGCTTTCACTTCTTAATAAAATAATAATAATTGGCAAAACGTCTTGAAGGGCAAGTTTGCCCCTGTATATGCGCCAGCTCTGCTGTTGATAATGAAGCAAGATAAAATTCTGTTAAATGACTCAAATATGCATCCTCACTGCTTATTTACTGTGAACCACATGAAACACCTTTGAGACAGATGTACAAATAAATTTTCTTGAGAAACATACCACAAGGATGGCAAAGTTTGTTGCATGACTACAGTTACAGGACACCCTCGTTTTGGTCTTAAGTGCAAGAACACACCCAGCCGTTGACCAATCACCGATTCTGTCATTGAGCTCAAAATCCCAGAAGACGCACTGGATGGTGGTTCTGTTCCTTTTAGTTTCATTTATGTCAGGTGCCTGTATAGAGATAATGTGAATTGGAATGTCAGAATTTCCAAAATACGTCAACATACCACATCCTACACACAATGTCAAGGTTTCACGATCTACAGAATGAAATTTTTTAATGTTTGGTTTAACCTGTGATCGTCCCCCATACGTCCTGTATTCTTTTCTTTGAAGACAGGTACCTTGAATTCAATAACCAGCGGTTCAGTGAGGTTGACCAGTTCATAATCTTCCACACTCAGAGAGACAACAGACCCTGCAACTCGCAGACTAGAGCCAATCTCCGCTGAGAAGTTACTGATCAGAACTGACTGGAATAATGTGTCATCAGCGTAGACGATGAAACTAGCACGAAGTGACTGAGAGCTGTTATCTACAAGGTATCAGGGACCGCGAACAACCAGTTGAGAAATTTGACTGCCAACTGTCAATTGTCAAATTAAAGCCTAATCCTGCAGGCAAAGGACAATTGAATATTATGGAGGGGCAAACATAAGTGGTGCAACCTGTATACTACTTCAGATACATGTATGATGATGACTGGTGGTACCTGCACGTGCATGAATGTACCATTATAAGCGCATTAGTTTCAGATTCCTTTCATAAATCACCATTGATATTTGCATGTAAGCTTTATACTTAGCATAATGGAATGATACTGCAACAAAGTCAGGCCAATTGCTTACTCGCACAAGTTGATTTTAAATATTTCAACAATCACTCACTGCAATAAAAGATTAGACTTGCCATTTCCAGCCTGTATCAAGTCAATGATGTTAGCCGGTAACCGGATAGAGGCCACCACCTGTTCTGGGATCTCGCTGGTATTCAGTAATGTCTTGACCTCAGTGCCGGCCAGTGAGCCAGATGTTGGCAAACTTTGCCCCGGCTGCTGCTCAACTGGCAACGAAACAAAGGTGAACCCACTCCTAGCTTCCATCGGGTCCACACTGACCGCCTCGACATGGATGGACTCCTCCTGTATGCTAACGCGACCTTCCTGCTGAAGGGTCAAGGAGACTTGATTCTCTACAGACTGGATGATTGCTGATGAGCTACTGCCATCAATGGACTGGGAATTTGAAGTTGAGGCAGTGTTGGCAACGTTGTTGACGGTCTCCACGACCAATTCAGTTACCTTCCAGAAAAATAAGTTATAAATGTTTCTCAAGTCTGGTTGTTTTTTACGCATGGTCTTCTTTAAACAACAGATACTCATCACCTGATTTGTAGGTTGTCCATCACATCACTGAATGCGTGAAAGGGGAAATAAAAGTTCAGTTCCACGATAAAACGGAGCGCTTTATTCATTGGTCACAAGAAAACATCCAGGAATTCACAGGTTATACATGTTACTTGCAACAACCAAGACATTATAAGAGCTAAAAAATATGGAAATCTTCCGATTAAAATAGGAAAAGTGCTATTTCACACCAACCTGCGCGTCACCTGATCCTGCATTAACAATATTAATAAGGATGTTGGAAACTGCTGCAACATTTTCTGCACCAGATGATCTTGATGTCTCATTGACCAGAAACCCAGCCACCTCGACTGCATTTCCTACACTGACATTCACCTACCAAATGGAAAAAAATAAACGTTTTCTTCCCAGGGTCACACAAACAACACAATTAACTGAAATATAACAAATGCAGGGACTAGACAAACTGCCTAATAATGGCCACTGTAATGCAAATTAATGCACGCTTTGCTTAAATTTCAAAAGCACAGAAAACCTTCTCGACATCTTCAAAAGTGACATCATTCCTTCTTGTACCACAGCTACGAGGTTCTCGAGCCCCCCACGAGAAATACCGGGGAGGCGCAACGATGGAACAGTTCCGAACAGATAATGGATCTCCAGCTGCATGCAGAGACAAGTATTGGAATAAAAATAATTCAAAGTAAATTTTACCCCTGACCACGAGATTATCAAGCCAATCCTCCATCAACCAAGCCTGTAAAAAAGTTAGACCCTGCTCACTTTATAGAAGACATGTAAGTTGATCGCATGACTATAAATCATGGTAATCAACACGTTTTCACTACTATCCTAAGACAGAGGTCAAAGCTTTGGAAGTTAAGTATCCTCTGTAAGAAAAAAAGGGCTTTTAGGATTGCCTTCCAATCACTGCATATATCTTCAAAGATACGATATATTTCATGATATAATCAGGGAGCACAAGAGTCAATTAACATATTTGGAAGACCAAGTATGTGCAAGCGAGCATTGTTACTTATCTGTGATTTTACTATTTCGTCAGAGATTCCTCAATATCACTTGCAGAACACAGTATTTTGGAGTGGCCACACAATGCCGCTATGAATTCATAAGGTGGAATGAGAAAACTTAGATCTCACCATTTGTAGTGTCAAGTGTGCATCTATCAACAGACAACGCAGTCAACCCTGCTTTGGTCTCAGGCCACTCCAACCTTCCCAGGAGCGGATCATTTGTAGTGCTTCTGGCACAGAAACCTGCAGAGGAAAAGACCCCAAAATATAGCTGACGTTACCCGGAGACAGTGAAGTGTCTTCAACATTTCACCAACAAAATTGGACACTCTACCTTAGAGAAACCTGCCCCGAAACAAATGAAACAGTTAACTCATTCGTGTATGCCAAGCTACACAATACTTATATACGCATATTAAAGTTAAAATGTTTGACATTTTTGCACTTGATTAATTTGGTTGAAAACAGCAATTTCTGTTTCATCGGCTCATTCATCGGTTTTCAATTTCACACAACAGGCAATCATGTTGTCACAAGAGTGATGTCTGTATCCAGCCACACTCACCAACAACTTGAAGTGAAAAGGAGCATTCTACAACCACACCGTATGCTGCAAAGGTCTGGCGATAGCTGATGTTATGGTTGCCAATCAGGAAGACATCACTAGGATTGAAGTTGGAGGTGAGGTTGGTGGGCCCGTTCCATCCGGTTACTTCCGGTTCTGACCAGCTCACACTGATGCTGGTGAAACCCGGTTCAGCATCGACTACCAAATTTGCAGGACAGACTAGACCCACTCCTAAAGACACATATAAAATTGTGGAAGTAACCAGGCTAACCAAAAATCTACAGCAATATCAGGGGCTGATGAATGTGCAACGAATCTTTCAGAAAGCTCGAAAATTCATCACTTTATAGGATTTTCATAGGACAGTCTTGCATCGAATCCCACGTACATATTGTGTGATATAATAACAGAGCCTTTCCTTTATCCTTCAATCCCCCCTTCAACACTGCTCTCAGTAATCTTCCTCGATTATCAAAAATTATCCACTGTTACAGTAAAGGAAATCCGTGGCCTATACTGGTAATTAAACTTTCAAGGGGCATCATGCCAAGCCCTGGAAATTGCGACAATTTCCCAACCCTACAAATCTTTCAGAACCACCTGATTGACTGAACTGAAAAAAATTATTGATAACGTTGCACACACACTCATACCTGTAACTGTGATGGTGAAACGGCACATGTTCCGGTTGCCTAAGGCGTCAACAGCACTGTAAGTCACTTCAGTAACACCAACTGCAAAGATACCATTTTGCCCAGTTTGATTGCAGACAGCTGCTTGGCAGCTGAAAGTGATACTTGCTGAACCAGAGTTGTCAGAGATCACAGGAGGAGTCCAGCTGTAAGATGTCTGATTGGACGGCGGCTTGACAGGGACGATGGTATCACCAGGACAACCATTGATCTTGGGAGGTTCAGTATCTAAGATGATATGATAAATTGATTACCTCAAAGTAATTTCTATTATTTAATCACGAACCAAAATGTAAAGTGCTATTATAAAAACACTTTATTTACCTGTGACAGTGGCGGATGTTAGGAGGTTTAGTATATAAGACGAGACACCATAAAATTGTTTCAAAGGGATCACCCTCAAAATCACTTTTATCATTGAATCGTGGACCATAATGTGACATGTCATTAGAAACATTTTCACTTACCGGTGACAGTGACACTGACACTAAATTGGCACTGTGTCTCAAGTCCCTTGGTACGATATGTGACATCAGTGACACCAATACCAAACGCTTCCCCTGGCTGGTGATCCGAGTACACAAGAACCTGTGCATCATTTTCACCAGTGCTCTGTGTGGGTGGGGTGCCAATGTAGAATATCACTGGTTGTGGGGGACCATTGAAGACGACCTTTGGTTGCACCCACGATACAGTGACAGTGGAATCACCAGGACCAGCGATAGCTGTGACATTGGATGGACAGTCCAGTCCGAGTCCTGCAAGACAACACGAGGGACAAACACGCTGAGCGAGTGAAGGTCTGTCCAGATGAACTAAAAATATCTCCCAAAGTGTTTTTTTTTGTTTTAGTTTAAAAGGCTTACCCGTGACAGTCACAGTGAAGTTACAATATGCTGAGTTTCCCGCTCGATCCATCACCGTGTAAGATACCATGGTAACATTACCAACTGAAAACGCGTCACCAGGTCGATGGCTCTGGATCCACCGTAAGGGCAAAGTCCAATCTGACGCAGTCACCTCAGGCCATGACACAGGGACAGACGCCTGATTGTCATCTGCGAGACGCGTTATGTTGCTGGGGCAACCCGTGGTGAAATTGGGGGGAATGTCTTCTGATAATCAACAATAAAAAAACAACAAAGAAACACTGGACGGTTGAATAATCCTAAGATAATAACCACAAAAGAGGTAAAATTAAACCATTGCTAACTACTTTCAAATTTGACCATGCACCGTGGTTTTGTGTATTCAAGAAGCAGAATTGACAATTGGCTGGGAGTGTTTTCCAGACATGTACATGTACTTTTGTTCATTATCAAAAGCATGTCAAAGACCACCATGCAAACTTTCCCTTACAGTCCTAGTTTTTGTTAATCTTTTTGTCCCACCTTTAAATACGTGGATACCTCCTGCACGACCAAAACTTGCAGAGCCGTAAGCTTCGCGACTTCCATCAGCATCGACACGAACAACAGAGTTTCTCGTCCAATCAGTCCAGTAGATGTCATCGTTATAGAAGAAAAGATCAAATGGGTGAAAACCACTTATGGAAGCAAGAACAGTCCGGCCCTGGCCCAAAAGATCGGAGTATTCAATGCGATCTATGCCGGCATCGCACCAGTACATTTTTTCGCCTACAGAAAAAGGAATGAATTTTTTTTTATCCTTTTGAGAGAAAGAACAAAAGGCTGGTGTCCAGTTTCCCAGCTAGCTTGGCAGATAAGCAAGTATGAGATCTCCGCTAGATTGTAAAGTTTAAATACTTCCAAGTCCATTGGTCTAGGGCTATCTAAGGTGCCACAGAGATACCCAGCACGTGTACACGGTAAAGGGGCCCTCTAATATTATGCGCAAGCTGTAAACTCTAAGGCTATTGTACCTATTCCGCCCCCCCCCCCAGAAATCTGAAAGGAATTCCAAAGATTCCATCAACACAAAAGAAGACATAATAGAGGGGGTCCCCTTTGCCTCGTATCGGGCATCGTATAGCCAGAGAAGGTTTGAAATTATTACTCTTCTTTTCTTTCGGGAAATTGTTTTGAAAGGGTTATTTTAAATTATGCAACAGGGGATTACTTTTTGTTGTAAGGCAGCACCGGGCTGGTACCATCTGTTTAGTTTTCCTTGCTTCGGTGTACACGTGAAATTTAACGAACGTGTTAATCGGGTAACTGGCATTCCAGAGGACGGGGGAAATCCGTGTCCCATACAATGCAAGATACGTGCCAAAGGGGACCTCCCTCCCATTGTGTCTTCTTTTGTGTTGATGGAATCCTTGGAATTCCTTTCAGATTTCCGAGGGGGGGTGGTTAAGTAGGCACAATAGCCTTCGGGTATACAGCTTGTGCGTCACATTGCGTGGCCCCTTTCCTACATATCGTGCCGGGTATCCCGCGTCCGCGTCTTTTCCATCGACTGGTTCCAAACGTCTTACAGACGTCCTCCAAACATAGGGACTGGTACGGCTGGTAATGAATCTGGTAGAATCTGCCGGGTACATGTAAAAGAGGAAACGATGCCTGCTCGATGCGCAAATCAAGTAGGAGCTGACAAAATATTTCATTTTCTCTTTTTTGTTACAGAAAATAATTTTACCATAAATTGCTTAGTTATCTAAAATGTAACGCAGTAACCATTGACTTGAAATATATTGCCTTAAAATGATTTATCGATGATAATCATCGAAAAATAAATTACCACAACTGTGATCAACAGAGACTTAGCAAGGATGGGTACTTGTCTTTTATATGGCTCTCAGCTGCAACTTAATTACTTTTGCTATTGAACCAATAAAAAGTTATATATCGAGTATCCAACTGACAGAGCTAATTGGCACGCACACATTAATCTGCTTTAGCTACCGGTCCCTGTAACAGGAAGGGGGACCAGTTGAGTCTATTTAATAAACCGATTGCGCCCTCTTGGTTTAATAGTGTGTATCAAACATCAACAAACATGGCGCACTCCCTTAGTAAAGTGTGTTGTTAGTGTTGTTTATCAAAAATAAAGCCATTTATTGTCAGTAGAGTAGTCTCAGTACGGGCCGTCGGCTTTATTTTTTGGTAACAAAAACGACACCTCGCTATGCCATATTCGCTGATGCCATATTCGCTGATGTTCGAGACGCATATGTCACGTGATTTAGCAGGCACAACGGGTCGATTACAACTTTTGATTTGGGAGCCAGGAAGATGCATCGAGTGTGTGGCACAGTTGGGTGATCGATTAATTAGATGAGTACGTGGAACCTCCAGCGCTGAAGCTGTCAGTCGGGAACGACACACCGAAGGCTGCGTGTCGACAGCTGCGGTCCCTGTTCCCAGTTGTTCCCCAACTGTGGGCGATTAAGACATCTAGTTGTTCCCGCAGTGCACTTTTCCAGAAACGCACGACCCGAGAAGAGGTCAGGACGAAGCCGACGGCCAAGTGAGTAAATTTGACAATATTTGATAACTAACTAAGCGGCCATATTAACAAGTGATCACATGGGTCGAATCACTTAGATAATTACAAATACCTTCCAAGTCCAAAGCTAAGCCATTTGGCCACCGAAGATCGGTGTCAATCAGAACACGACGACCTGATCCATCTGTGTCAGATCGCTCAATCCTTGGGTAGCTGCCCCAATCCGTCCAGTACAAATGACTATGTAGCAAATAAAGCAGAAGTACGTTCATTGGTTTATATACCCGTTTCATTCTGCAGGAGCCATGGTTAAGTTTCCATCAAAAGTATGACCGTTTGGTATTCTGTCCACCTCACGGTTGCTTGGTTTTTCTCTCTACCAATTCTGCAGGTGTTTTCGGAATCAAAACATTTTCAGGACATTGAAAATAGTCCCATTCTGCCGGTGACATTTTGTACAAAGAGTTTACCAAACAAAAAGTAAATGTAAGTAGCAATAGATAATTAAGCCACTTTTTAAAACCGCAATATCAATTTCTATTCAGAAAAGAAGAGGCACACGTACTGTTGTTGAAATAAGCCATTATCAACACCATATTTGGACGAAACACAAGGAATGATTCAGGATAAGCCGCTAAAATACAAATCAAATTAATAGAAACTGATAAAAATCAAAACAGAGGCGTACTTGTTTCTAGGGTCTATTACAATCGCTCTGGGTTCCACTGCCCCTGTCGTTTTTGTAAAGTTATGAACAACGGATCGACCCTGACCATCCATGGTAGCTCGCTCTATCAGATCACTGCCTGTATCGGTCCAGTACATCAGACGATTCACAATGTCAAGAGCCATCCCATCAGGCCCTACAACAATTTCGGATGACAGGAAGATACATTAAAAGGGCAATACTAAGACTATAGCAACGTGTATAATGAATGTCCATTTTAAAATAATTTTCATACGACAACAATCAAATGTTAAAGCTTCCGATTATGTAGGTTGCGATAGAGTGATTAGTAACCTTTAATTTGAAACAAAAACATTTAAGACGATTTCTCCCACTAGAAACTGTTACAAATTTACTTTCAATATTTTGCATCAATCTGAAACTTGAAGGTAAGGTTCTGCAAAAGATTTCATTTGTTCATTTTCCTCAGAGGTTATGCATGGTTCGTTTGTCATCTATTCTGAATGATGGAATAAGAATGTCGAAAACGTAAATAAAAGTATAGGACTATATGTCCAAGTAGCAACTGGAAATTGGGAAAATCTTTATAAACCACACACTCTCGATCACAATCCAAGAGAGCCGGGGAGAGATTTGAGCTGTACGTGCCAATTGTTATTTTGGTTACAGTGAGGTATAAGGGTTGAAAACTCGGGGAGTTTAATACATGAACTTTAGGTAATCAGACTGGGTTGCCCTTTTCATGCCCAACCAAGTCCACATACAGAAATATTTGAGTCCCTGTACCCGATTCTATGGGTCTTACGCTAAATATTCTTCTGGTAATTTTCTCCCCCTCTAAAAATATAACTGTTCATCGTTTTCTCCTCTCTGTTTTTTCGTGTTCCGTTAGTTCATTTCAAGATATGTTTAATATTAACCTTCTGTAATAATAGCTATAAAAGCTCCGTTTGGATACACAGCTGTAATGTTTGAGTACATTTAGCATTTTCAAATTCTATGGGCTCCGAGCTGGACTAAGAGAGGGTGCAATTTTATCTTAGCAATGGAGGCTCTTTTGGCAGCAACTGCACATCGCGGGTTCACTAACGACTATGAAACGCAAGCATTGGAGTTGCATGGCTACCAAGAAAACGTGCACTCCCGACCAACATTGTATTTTTTCAACGGATGAGGTGTTGCTCCTGCTTAGGACGGATACCACCCTGAAAAGTCATTGCACAGGGCTGTATATCAAGGGAAAGTATCGTTAACGCGCATTTAAAGCATGCATGCTTACTATGTAGATCCGAGACAAGAATTTCAAATCCACTTCCGTTCAAAAAGGCCCGACTGAGGCTGTGAAGCACAACGTCAGTCCAGTACACCATTCCTTCTTCAGGGTCATAGTCAATGGCAACGGGTCGGCTTATGTTGCTATGGCTACCATTCAACCCTGGAATGAGTGTGAAGTTGAAGGTTTCCGTGGGAGCCTTGAAAAGTCCTGGAGGCTCCAGGTTGGCCACAAAGACCAAATCATAAGGATCTTAAACAAATCAGAGTAAAATAATTTTTTAAATGCCATGTCAAAAACAAATGGAACTTGAGAGAAAGTGTATATAAAACCTTGATTTGGACTGCCAAGTGTATGCCATCAAAAATGTTAATCTAAGAAACGCTGACTACTTGTTCTCTCTAAAAAATTTCCTTAATACATAAAAGGGACGGGTTGCAAGAACATGTATACGAGAATTTGAAATATCAAAATAGTAAAATTACTCAATTATGTATAGCCACGTATATGGTATCCATCGCAGCCTGAAACATGCACAACATCCTAATGCTCAACCAATTAAATTAAATTTTAATAAAATCTGGTACTCTGTGTAATCTGATTGCACACACGTAACAATTTGAATTTGCCCAGACTAAAGACACTGTTGCTATACCTCCTGATTAGCGGCAAGCTTTTGCATAGCGACCACGATCTCTGGAATGGACTGGTTCCTTTGTGCCCTTCTTATGCATTGAGAACAGTATTGTTGCAAGGCGTCTCTTATGTAACTAAAGCTTGCTCCGAATCTATTCACGAGGTATACAGGCAGTGTTTTTTACTGTGGAGAATTCAAATTGTTATGTTCAAATGATTTTAAAGGACTCAGTGTACCAGATTTTATTCAAATTTAATGCGCAAAGGGCTTATTGAAATGGCTCAGCCTTATCCTAATCAAGGTTCTCACAATAGGAAGAACACAGAAGGAGTTTGAACTGCCTGGGCAATAATATCTGACCAATTACCGCTTTCTGCATGTCTGGTACATGTATGTCCATAGCCAGAGCGCAGTGAATCCTAGCAACGCACCAACTGTTTCAAAACCATGGCATAAGCCCCCTTTATACCCGAAGATCATCGCTGCAATTTGTCGCTGGTAATCTGCATCCTTAAAACGTTGTGTAAAACAGTATAGGAAGTTGAATATTCGTGATATTGTTGGTGCTTAGTATAATCTGACAACATCAAATTTAATGCTTGCGCAGTTGCTTGTATTAGGCTGTGTGCCCTAAGTGATCATGTGCAGTCATTGCCCTTGTCGAACACTTTCTTCTTGAGTTGTTTTGTGAATAAATTGCCAATTTGTTTCTAAAATATTGTTTTATTTGAATAATTTTTATACAAAAAGGTATTTTATGAGATCTCATGCATATGATCACTCCTTGTGATGAATATCGCAGTTTGGTCGTTATGAACTTAACTGTCGACATGTTGGTGGTGGTCGACATGTTGGTCAGTCTAATAGCCAAAATCATACAAAAACATTCAAAACTGAAGTTTTGGGGTGACAAAATAAAATTCCTAGCATTGCATGGATAATGGAAGAGGGCATCAAAATGTTAAAAATATTATTCACGACGGCAAAGGTAAATGTAATGTTAGATATTTGTCTTTTTATTTCCTGGTCACTGCGATTAGTTGTAGTTACCTGCAAAGAAAACACCACAAATATTGATACTGGCCCCACTTGTCCGGCTAAGCTGCAGGCAGTTATCAGGCATTTTTAGAATATTTACTATTGTTCGTCTGACCTGGCGGCGATAATTATCGAGTACTTTGATGTGCCAGGGTTGTATACTCCTTCTGTGTGTTCCTCCATGATCTGACACTACAAGACATTTAAGATTGATTCCTTCTGTCCGAAATCTAAAACATTACTCCATAACTGCAAGACAATTAAGTTGGTTTCCTTTTTTTTCTTAACAGTTTAAAACATTAAATGTTTGGCGATTCCAGGGCAACTGTAAAAGGGCACCTACAAAAAATTCGGTCGATTCTCCTTTGATGAAGACTCCAGCAAAATATCTTTGCAGGTGCGGAGAAATTTGCACTAGTCTGTTCTTCCAATCTGTATACTGCCAACACACTCGTTTGGCTCGTTTATAATCTAAACATATTAACTCCCCACATTTGAACACACGATGCGTTTAGATGGGAAAGTGTTTAAATAAAGTGTTTGTCATCGGGACAGCGGCTTAATTAAAATGTGAATTCCATTATTTTACTAAATATTCTTTAGTGCCAATGAATTTCAAATCCAAGTTAGTGTAGCCCCTGGCTTCGAGCTCATTGTACTCCGTTTTTGCCACGCCTCCAGACAAAATATGATTTCTTCGATTAAGACTGTTACAGTCCACTTTTAAGTTATTCCCCACAATGCAAAACCCAACGTTACCGTTTAACTTCTGGACTCAAATTAAACGCAAATATGTAATACTTTTTGAACATTATGACACCTACGACATGTTTATGCGGAACAAACTATTTTATTTAGTAAACGCAAAGTATAAATGTATGGATGTGTTTAGCATATGTTAGGTACACTTTTTAATCATAAACCTGTGTGTTTATTACTTTAAAAAAATTAAAAAACAAAACAAAAAGCGCCTAAGTATGTGTACAAGCTGTAACACTTTTTATACACTTTGACCAAGGAAAAGAAATCTGGACTTGCAACGCCTTTGTATGAAATAGAAGCCAACTAGCAACCATTTTACCGAGCCGCATACAAATGCGTGGGTTGGATCGCTTGCGATTGCGTACCTATTGACGCCAGGGAGAACAAAGGCGGACATTGCCAAGTAAGCTTTGTATTCGGCTTGATAAAATGGCCGCTAGTGGATTCAGTGATCTCTATAAGGTGATTAAGGGCATTGCGAGTCCAGATTTTCTTACACGTCCGTGACCTTGACGCGTTTATAAAGAGTGCAGTGTTTCTTAACTGCACATTATTGGGTAACGATGCCATACACGTGTTAAGTCATTCGCAGTGATAGACTCATACGTATGTTCGGTCCCCATATACCGTGCGTGCATTCAGTTGTATATTCGCGCATGTGCACTAGTGACACAGTGGGCCTGAAAAATTATTCTAGCAGGCGACGCAGATCGATGGTGACCCATGGGAGGAATTTGTACTGCCATTTCCCTTGAACTTGAAGGCCTTGTGTGTGATTAAATTGCCAAGAGTCTATCAAATGGTGATATTTAATAGATTCTGGTAAGAAAGATCGCTGGAAAATAATCAAAGAAAGTAGAAAATGTCAATTTTACGACAAAGTATAATTATGAAAAATTATCGTTTTTTACCTAGTTTGTGTCTGATTTTCACAACTTTGCAAAGTTAACCTTCAAATAATGTTGATGCCATATGAAAGACTAGTAACTCTTATTTTCAAAAAAGGTTAAAACCTCTTGGAAGAAAACCGTTTTTGAAATGCACTTCGTTTTTCATTGGGACCCATTTTCGTCATTTTCCGTGTTTTTCACCTAACTTAGTGCCTAATTTTCACACTCTTGTCGAACTCCTGTCAGATCATCGGGGATACTGTCTGGGAGACTTTGAGTGTTTGAATTCTAATCGGTATGGAAAACAACTTTATCTCAGGTTTTACTGGCCTCTAAAGATGCATTCCACCAAATCGTTGTATTTCTGCGCGCGAGCTCCTTAATATTCTGTGATCCCACGGGACTTTTACAATGAAACTGGCCATCATCAGGGGGCATCGTACAAATATTTGCATAAATCCCAAATTTGGGGCTGATAGCTTCTAATTCGGGGTATTTCTTTCAAAAAAGCACAACATTGCGGGCCTATTTTGGATAAAGGTGGGTGGCTACATTCAGAATTGAGCGCTTAGTTTTACTGCAGTTTTGGGGGGTAGGCCTATCTTCGTTGAACGGCGAATAACAGTTTTTTCATATCTAACCCCCAATGAAATTGAAACGAAAAGAGATCTTCTGGCCATAATCTTGAATTTACAGTGAAAAAAAGGAGGCCAACCTTTTCACGAGAGTCAACAGACGGTGCTATTTCGGTCCGATTTTGCACTGTTTTCTGTGGGCGGGTATTTGGTATATTGCAACCCTGCGCTATACAGGGTGTCCCAGAAAAAACACACCCCGAGGAAAGGGGGTAATATGCCTTAACCAGGAGATATGATTATAATCTATAGGGATCTCCGAAAAGTAGAAGCAGTATTCTTTCTAATGATACCTTGATGCATCCCTCCTGTCATGCATGACTGAATACCATCGTCTTGAAAATGGGGCATCCCAACTCAGTTGTAACACTTTGGATGTGTTCCAGAAGCCATTGAGCAAACGCCCGTCTCCTCCTGAGGTCTCCACGCAAACGTTGGTGGCGGATGTGCATTCGGTATGGATGGAACTCAAGGTCTAACTGCGTTATGCGGTTAAACGAAGTATGGGACAGTCCAAGTCCATTCCTCCAGCAACTGGTTCCCCCTTGGCTGTTTGACAAGCTGCTGTCGAACTGCAGCAACGTTTACAGGAGTTCGCACTTTATGCCGCTTTCCCGAATGACCCTTATTCAAATTAAGGCTTGTCCCGTGGTCTCGGTATTTGTGCACATTTTCCCAGATGGTCGACTTGGCTGGTGGATCCCCATCAGGGAAGGCTTCCCTAAATGCAGCTTGGGTGGCTTGAAAGCTCTTCTTTTCAAGAAATTTCGTCACGACAAACACTCTTTGCTCTTTAATAAGTTGCACCATGTTGCAGACTTGCTGTCCTGCTTCGAAGACTTTTCAACATTGCACTGGCCTACCTCGGGGCAAGTCAACGCATTTAAACCAGATTATTGCATAACTTGAAAGTGACAAAAGGCAATCTTCCCTCATTAACATAACCTTTTGTTGTCACTTTCAACCAGGACAAGCATGACAGAGGACAACCTCATTTACTGGTTTATCCAAAGTGTCACAACTGAGTTCGGATGCCCCATTTTCAAGACAGGGATGTTCAGTCATGCATGACAGGAGGCATACCATCAATGTATTACCATAACGAATACTGCTTCTACCTTTTGGAGATCCTATACATTACAACCATATCTCATGGTTTGGGCATATTAACCACTTTCCCCAGGGTTTGGTTTTTTTTTCTGGGAAACCCTGTAGTGGGATTTAGTGCGCCTGCGCACCAACTAAGTGATGGTAATGAACATACGTGTGGCATGAAGAGCGGCAAGCCAACTGCTACAACTTAACATGGTAACAAAAATGGTTGAAATACTGTTGACAAACCTTATTTTTTCGTGAAATATTTTTGCACGTTAAATGCACGATCTAGTGTAAGAAACGAGCAAATGCAACTCTGATCAGTTCGATTTCTCCACTTTTGCAACTAACAACAACTAGCAGACGTGCAGTCAACACCGGAAAGAGATCGAAGTGCGTATGCACGTGCGTGTACATACAGCGCATGCGCTGGCTAGTCATGTCTTAAACTCTGGGCGCCCCGAACATTTTATATTTTGGTGTGATAATCCACTTTGCATCTAATGTATTACACGTAATGTCAAATTTAAAATCAACAAATTAAATTAACCACTTACAACATGAGATTTGAATTTTATCGGCACTAAAGAGCATAGGCGGAAAATAATGGAATGCTGTTTTAAGCCACTCTAAACAAGCGTTTAATGTCCCAACGGTAAACACTTTCTACGTTAAACACGTTTCCGTCTAAACGCACTGCGTGGTCAAACGTTCTTGGGTTTTACAGTGCGTCCAGACCGTAAAAGAAGGTCTGGATGAGCTTGTTGAACTTTTTGAAAAATATATCATCGTTTCAGCTAACTGTGGCCCGATAGTATAGTATGTACTCACCTTTGCAATGCATTCTCGTCCTATAGGTTCTAAACCGAAATATTATTCGCATGCATAAATGTGTTGAAATAAAAAGGAAATGAAATTCTCCGCTCGTGAACATAAAAGATTAGGAATTGTTACATTTCATCGTCATTGAAAAAAAAAACTTTTTTAGGGGCCTATGTCTAAAAGCAAATATTATGTAGGGGACTTAAAGTAAATATTATGAAGGGTTTGGGGCAAAACAACGATTTCACCATCACCGACAACATGCAGTCTTTTATTCCACGGCCCCCTTGTACAATGTATTTCCCGGACCAGCCCCCAAGAAACCCTCCTGAATCCTCAGTCCCCTGAGCTAGGCCTAAACATATTTTCCTACCTTGTGATTGCGAAATGGCTGGAAGCTCCCCAATTAGAGCAGAAATAAAAACAAACACCAGCAACTCATGTAGTTTTGATCCCGTTTTGGCATCCATTTCAGATGTCAGAGAAAAATTGCAAGTTCATAATTTTGTACGTACACCGTTTCTATGAAATCAATAAGGATACCATTTTCCTTGCTTTAATTTCATGCAAGATCGATGTTTCTTGCCATCTTGGCGCTTACTAGCTCCAAAGCAGCACGTCTGGACCCAATTTTAGGCGAGGCGGAAATGAATAAATAGAGGCCTGCGCTACTTGTACTGAGCGGATAATAAATCAACAACTTGGTGCGCATAAAAGCTTTTGTCGGGTCTGCAGGTGTCTGGATGACAATGAACAGATCTGAACGGAAAGGGCTAACCACACACTAGCAAGCTCTAGCAAGGTTATGGTGGAGTTCAGCTAACACGGGCCTTCATGGCAACTCATTCGCCCCCACATTGAACGAAAAGCAACCCCATAGGCATAAAACAGATTATGTTTTATCATCCATCCTGAAAAAAATACACGACAATGATTCGGGTAGCTGATAATCAATAGACCGATTCCTCCCGCTAAATCACGTGACGTAACGGGTATCAACCCCAATAACAACGTGTGTTTGGAGTGTTTTTTACAAAATATTACAGCCAAGTTCCGGTATAGTTCCCAGCACATCAGTAGCCTGAGTACAGTATGTACAGTCGGCTTTATCTTTAGTAAATGATAATTATGAAATACTTTGCTTTGGGCAGACACTGTTTTAGTTGATATCCAATACCCACTATAGGTCACGTGACTTAGTGGGCGCTATTGGTCCATTTCACTTGTAACAGAACTCCAAACGGCCCTTGCCTGCTTTGATTACATTTTATAAGGCCGTAGCATTGGCTACACGCTTTGCCCAAGGAAGCTGCTTTATTGGTTATTTCTTATGTATGTGTTGGACAATGATCAAGGCCCTCTCTAAAAAATTTAGCACGGAACCATTCGAACGCCTATTGTGATAAACAGACGAAAATATATTTCCTTTCTGTTCCATTCATGACAAATGATGTGGTATGCGGAAGCACTGGGTACAGTCTGAAAAAAATGTTGCTGAATTATATCCAGGGTCCCTGTTAAAAACACCTACATCATTGCAAAGTGTGTTTCATATTCACAAAAAGACCAGTATACCATTGAAGCCAAACCATCCCTGGAATTAGTTTGAAGGTCATCGATGAAACATCTACCTCGTACATAATACAACATACCACTCACGATAACAGGTAGCAGTCCTGGACGATCAAAATAAAGGGAATATGGATGTGTTTGCATAGAGTTCATAAAAGTCCCTTGACTTTACTTTCGTGCGAAACTTTAAGACATAGTAAGAGGTTAACTGTTAGCGCTGAGTAGAACCGTGGTGGAATCCGACTGAATATTTATGGGACCTAGAGGAATAACCCTAAAAGAACCAGGCTTTTTCAGAAGGCTGGGGATCATCCCTCCCCTTTAGAATTTGGCTGCCTAAAGCCTGGCCTTTCTGTAGCTTTGCATGCATGTAAAACAGGATAATCAACAAACTATGAAATTGAATCGTAAATGGATTGTTGTTTCATTTACAGTCTGTGGACGTATAGAAGAAGTTGATACATGTAAAATTTTACCTGAAGTTGCCCAAAGGTCCTCGTGTCACTTTCTGGGAACCAAGGCATAGTAAGAAAACTGAAACATAACTTACCTTCAGATAAATATTTTCTCCAATTATAATACCTTGTCCGTAACATGCCTTCAGTAAGGTTGCTTAGCTTGGGGTAACACCTACCCTTAATAGGCAAAAAAAAACAAATACTTAGAATAACTAATAATTCGAGCTCCACAGAACATTCAGCACCACTATCAAGTAAATACAATACCTTCGCAGTCTTTAATTTATCTAAATACCACCAAGGTGTGCTGATGTAACAATCTGAAACGAACAATTTTCCAAGGACTGTATACTTGTTATTTTTTTAAAAAAACTCGGATATTCATTGTCTTAATACAAGGTCAGCCCCAAATCTTCACATCCGTAAAGCACAAACATCTCTTTATCTATCGACTGTCAGAAATCAAGGGCCTCTTCTACGGAACCACCTCAAACCAATGCCTATTTTTCGGTCTCTGCAACTTTTCAAAAAGTACGACTAGCGTTGCTGTTAAAACCTGCAATTTGTGACATCTGACGACGTTATAAGGTCAACCTAGGCATACGTACTTATTGTTCTGGAAACAAAGAAAGATGGAATATTACGACTTCAAAAAGATTAGTTTAGCCCAATCACCTCATAATCAACTTCAATTCGGACAAGAGTTTCATGTATACGTACTTTACACATTGTACGTGTGCATGCTCATCTATCTGTTCCACAGTACATTACACATGATTACCCTCAAAGTTGACAAGTACAGGAAAACATTGTAAACCAAGGGTGCTATTTGCCCCTTCGGGAGTACAAAGCCCAGGGACCCCGTCACAAGAGGCAACGAATTTTTTGTTATATCATTGTAATACATTTCCCGAACGCTGGGGAGGGAAGGGGAATACCTTGTACGTGTACTACATAGGCCCTAATCGTTTTTCGTCCTGCTGGCGATGTCTCACAAAACAGAATTAAATTTCAGATGCCCTATTTAGAAGCAGACAAAAGCCTCATCTGCCAAGTTATTACAGACTATTATAGACCACTTAAAGCTAAAACAGGCGAAACCATCACTGACAAGAGCAAGCAACTCCAGCGTTGGGTCGAGCATTATCTTGAATTGTACTCGACCCAGAACACCGTGACAGACGTTGCCTTTGACGCCTTGCCTGGCCGTCTAGTCATGGAGGAGCTTGACGAAATGCCCACGCTGGAAGAGCTCAGCAAAGCCATAGACTGCCTCGCCTGTGCTCCTGGATAAGACGGTCTCCCCCAGAAAACAGCCATCTTACAGCCACTATATGACCTCCTCTGCCTTTGCTGGGAGCAGGGTCACATTCCCCAAGATCTTAGAGATGCCAACATACGTTGTACAAGAACAAAGGCAATCACAGTGACTGCAACAATTACCGGGGCATCTCTCTCCTGAGCGTAGTTGATAACGTCTTCGCCTGGGTCACCCTCTCCCGCCAGCAGGGCCTCGCTTGTGTTGCTTCAGAGCCGGAAGGTCCACGGTGGATATGATATTCTCCCTCCATCAGTTGCAAGAGAATTGTCGAGAGCAACAGCAGCCATTATTCCTTGTGTTCGTGGACCTGACCAAAGCCTTTGACTTAGTCGAAGCGGGCTCTTCCAGATCCAGCGAAAGATCGGTTGTCCCCCAAAGTTCCTTAATTATATCCCATATGGACATGCAATGTACTGTTTGCTTTAATGGAGCCACCTTAGATGTCTTTCCAGTCAGCAGTGGAGTCAAGCAGGGTTGCTTTCTAACAACGACCCTGTTTGAGATTTTTTTTTCTCAATGCTCTTCCACTACGCCTTCGCCGACTGTCCTGAAGGTGTCTACGTCCGCACGATTGATCAGACGGAAAACTCCTCAACATCGCTGAGGAGACGACGCTGCTCTAGCATCGCACAGCAAGGAAGGAATGCAGCACTTGGTCGACAAAGTGTCCCACGCCAGCAAGGAGTTCAGGCTCATGATCAGCCTCAAGAATACCAACATCATGGCGCAAGATGCTCCCCCCCCCGCCATTACCATCGACAACACAAAGCTGAAAGTTGTGGACACCTTCACCTACCAGAGGTCCACTGTTTCAAACACGCTCTCGTTGGACACTGAGATTAGCTCCAGAATCGCCAAAGCAGCTGCTGTCATGGCCAAACTCAACAAGACAGTGTGGAAAATCAGTCTGCTGAGTTTGAAGACCAAGCTACCCATCTACCAAGCTTGTGTCCTGTCCACTCTCCTGTACGGCAGCGAGTCCCGGAGAGCCTACGCCAGGCAGGAGAAGCGTTTGAGTGGGTTCCACCTCCGCTCTCTTTGGCATCTTATGCACATCAAGTGGCAGGACAGAGTCCCAACACCGTGTTCCTTGCGCGCGCTGACTTGTTAGGCATCCCTGCATTTGTCAGCCAGAGACGACTCCGGTGGCTCGGCCACGTTCACCTCATGGAGCCTAACCGTCTGCCAAGAGAAATCCATAAGGAAAACTGCGGCTGGGTGTCTGCCGTGTTGGCCCAAGGCTGTTGCGTTTTAAAGATGTCTGTAAACGCGACATCCGGTGCACGCAGCTCAACATAAAAAACTGGGAGGTTATTGCCAAAGATCAAATCACTTGGCGCCACAGTGTCAAAGTAGGTGTTCTCAATACGGAAGCGAACACGAGGGCCCAGATGGCGACGAAGCGTGCGGTGAGAAAAGAATGCGCAGCATCAGCACGATTGTACCATCAATCTTCATCTGCCGCAACTGCTCCAAAGACTGCCATTCAAGGATTGGGCTGTACAGTCATCATTCCAGACGTTGCTTCAACACTTGACGTGGTAACCATCGCCTCTTGGAGACAAAGATTCCAGAGAGAGAAATACGAAGAAATCGGCTCCGTTAAAAACACGACGAATGATGTGAACTAAAATGGCGGTCGTAGCAAAAAAGGCTTTCGCTCGTCGCCCAGCGCTCGAGCAAGGCGCGGGGGGAGGGTGAGGGGTTGACGGCCTTGCACATATACTAGTGAAGCAAATACGTCACACGGGGTGACAGCTAACCACACGGCCACAGCCAAGCTCGCTCAATGTGGCGGTTATCAATTCGTTTTTTTTTTCTTTTTCTTCCCCATTGCTGAAATATTCTCAGTAGATTTTATTAGTTTATCCAAAATATCTTTATGACTAAGATAACTTGGTCTGTATATCGCCAACAGAAATGTGATCATGCGCAGTGATACTTATAGTAAGAGGACAAATTACTGTGATTGTACCAAGGCCATGTTTTTATCATAATTATAAGCCGACATTTTGTCCTGTGCCAAGGCATTGCCATAGGCTTACCCAACATTTCAAATAACGCTGCTCTAACAGGAATTGATAACCTCTCGGTCTGAGATCGTGCACAACATATTAGCCAATCACGGTGCAAAGCCATGACGGCGCTGGGAGGGGCCAATCCCTTTCACAAAATTTTGTGGAGGAAATACGTCACACGGTATCACAGTTTTAGATGCGCAAAACACTGAGAGTTGTAAGCAAAGAAGCGATAGCTGCTCAAATGGGATGATAACATCCTAATCCGCAATTAATTTCCGTAACAATTAGCAAAATCTAATGATAACATGATTTACCCAAGAAAGTTTACATCGGAAGTAATGACCTCGAGGTCACAAGTCGTAAATATTAAACCAATGAGAGTTTAAAAGTTATTAGCCCTTCCCAACGTCCTGAGTGGACGCTAGGGGACGAGCGAAGGCGACGAGCGAAAATGAAGCAGTATAACCTCGTATCCAAGGTCACACCTGTACAACACGGTGGGAAAAACGACGTTTTTAACTGTGGGAGAGATCGAGGTAATGTACTGCGGGAAAACAAATGCTCATGTTTTCGCGATCAGGTACGTGCTTGTTAGTGGCATGCCACGTAATTGCTGCTGCATCAATTCAGAGTCTATTACCAAACATCTTTGTTACATAGCTACGTGCACGTAAGCATAAGTGCACCTATGAAAAAGCATATTTAACAGAACAGCTAGAATTTATGAAGAAAATCATGGACATTTGTTTCAAGAAGGGACGGACATCTTTGCAAATTACTTTGGTGTCAATTTACCACTGTGTTCATTTCTATTACTTAGACACTGTAAAGTTATTTTTTCAAAGAATCATTCGAAGGTTTCCTTACAACATAAAGTTATTTCCAGTGTAGAAGCTTTTACTGTTTTAAATTAGAAAAAACTTGTGCGATTAACTTGAGTTGTAAGTTTGCCAAACAGACCTTACAAATGGTTTATAGTGATAGCTTATTCCCGAATAAGCTAGCTTTGCTTGATTTGCTGTGCGGCTAAAATGTCAACAAATATCAAAGCTACCGGTACGTCTAATTTTTTTTATCCCTATACAGTTACGCCTGTATGTAGGATGCAGTACTTTTATCTTGTCGCGCACTTCCTATCATCCTTCCGTTTTTTTATAAGCACGCTTAAATAAGAAACCCAGCTTAAATAGCCTAAAGGTTATAATCATGGCTTTGGAGGTTTTTTGTTGAAATTGTATTGTGTTTAATTGAAACTTCAAACACTTTAAAGCAAAATCAAGGAATATCGGTGTTAAATTCACCAAAATGCACCCTTTTAGATTTCAGTGCACATTTATTCAGAGAAGGCTATAAACTGAATAGGTGAGGAGTAGAACATAAGTGTGCTCTCCTTCATAGTGAAAGCAAATTCGAGAAAGCTGCAATTTTACTCTACCAGAATTATTGCATCACGCATACAGTGATACGCCTTCTTGGGCATGACATTTCACTTTTGAACATTAAAGCAGGCCAATTTTACCTTGTAGCTGGCTTTCCTTTTTCTGTGCTTCACATGATACCGTCTACAGAATCAAAATTATTCATGGTCAATTGACGACGGACGGCATGCACCTATACCTCGCATACACTGTAGAGTACATGTGTAAATATTAATTTTATTTGCACGGGTCAGGCCAAAGGAAAAATTAAGGTGAGTGAGTTCTAAAGGTTTCTTTAAATCTAAAGGATTTCTAAAGGAGTTCTAAAGGTTTCTTAAATCGCAGTTTAACTCTTCTCATACGTGCGATTTAGAATCACCAAATTCTTTACACACATAAATGGTTATCTGAATGGTATGAACACAACGAAAGTGTACAGGACCACAAGCAAAAACTTCTCCAAACTAAGTCCTATCTTACTGCACTACGTGAGTTACAACGGCGAGTTATCTCGCCCAAGCAAAACATACGAACACGACGCGGCGAGATAGAACTTCTGTGCTTCCGTGTTCACCTGAGTGTGGGCCAGGGTTGTAACAACTAAAGTCAATGACTCGACTGAAGTCAACTCGTGTCATAATTTTTGGCGACTCGACTCGACTCCTTTCGGGTAAATGACTCGACTCGAGTCACTGTGAGCAAATGACTCGACTTGAGTGGAAATTACTAAGACCCGAGTCCGAAAATAAATGCAATTTATTTTGCAAAAAAAAACATTTGTCATGAATTAGCCTTAGAGCCGATTTATGTTTATATCATGTTTTTATATCAAGAGTAAGATATGGTGTGACCACAAGAATAAATTTTGAAATGCAAAAAGTTACATTCTCTCTTGTTTTTGCTTGTAATCGTGTTCACATATTTGTGACTCGAATTGACTTGGGCTAAATACTTGACCGGACTCGACTTTTCTACCTAATGACTCGACTTGACTCGAATCACAATACGTTACAATGACTCGACTCGAGTCACTACGTTCAGGCACAGGACGGGGTAACGTACCTTGCCGCCAATTTTTAATTGCAAAGACATCGATAATTAAATTTACTTAATAGTTTATGGATCTGGTATTAAGAGCACTATATAGACGGGATTAATTCCTCCACCGCCGACAATTTTATTTCAGCCTACACAGTATAACTGAAGGTTACATTTCCCTACATACAATAAACCAAGGGGATTGTGAAATCAAGAAACTATAGAGTTGGAAGATAGGCGTGTTAGGTGTCTTTGTTTCACTTCAGCCCAATTTTGTTTATTCCAGCCCCATTCCAGTTCTGAGAAGTCCTTGGACTGTCTTTCAAAATAGGAGAAAATTAAATAATGCAAGCTCATCAGCTGGCTCTCTTTCACAACTGAGTAAAAAGACGCAATACAATATCAAATACTGACATGAACTGAATATAATAGCAGGGCATATTCTTCAATGGTTAATATATAATCATCGATAAACTCATACAAATTACCTCTAAGAAAGACTGGCTCTATTCGTTTTCACGTTACTAAGGAACCACAACAGAAGACTATTTCAAATATTCATATTGCTCCACTGACGTTTATACAACAAATTGAACATCTGAATATAATGTATACAGATACACTATTTTATCTTAGAATACACAGTTACCGTCGCTTTGATGCCCTTTATAACAATTACATGTACATGTAATCTACAACATATGTACCTTTCGTTTTTCAGTCTCATAAGAATACCTTTACAGTCACCAAGGGTTTTTTCACACCATTCAATCGAACACATCCTGGAAGATTGCCTCATGCCATACAGTGAGCTACTGAAACAGCTAAACCTGGACAGCCTCGAGGTCAGATGTAATCAAATTGTCAAGCCAAATCACTGCTCAAGTCACCCCAACATCGCCAACTCTTGCTGGACACTCGATTAGTTTCAAGCCGCAACCTTAGGAACTCATACCATCTACAAATACCCAGAGCTAGGACCATCCGTTACTAACGGTCTCCAATTCCTTATTTTGTTCATCTGTTAACCGCTGTAGAACTGCAATGTACCGTCTTTAGTTTGACGTTATTACTCTCTTATCTCTTCAGCCCAGTGTGTCTCAGTCTTTCATGCATTATAATGGACTGTTAGTTGCCATATACCCTCAAAATGTTCACTTTGTGCTATGTTGAATATTATACTCGCTATATATATTTTCTTTTAATGATTAACACGATATTGAATTTATACGCGTATATGGATGCAACGCATTACAAAGTTTGTGAGCTTGTAACCATAACAATTCACTGAAGTAAATTTTGACAAACTGCAACAAAGGCTAGGTATCTGCCCGTAGGGTTCAGTGCGGGCCCTCATCTCACGCAAGGTCTGTGAGGTGTTCATTCATCCGTGAAAAAGGGCACTGAGCTAATGGTATTCACGTTCTAATGAGGTTTTAAACGACCTTTCCGATTGGAGCAAAAAGTTAAAGCTTAAATGGACGGGCGTTAATATCGGCCAATCAGCTTGATTTTAACATCATATTTAGACAAATTTCTGCTCTTTATCTTACAGCTCGAACGAAACGAATCGGTAGACGGCTTCCGAAGTGATGAATTTGCAATGAGTCGAGGTGTGACAGAATCCGGCCTGAAAATCGTTGGCGCCACTGTAAAAATGTAGATACCGACTATTTTTACTTGAAAATTGACGGGTCTTTAAAGTCTTTCAAAAATAATATTTTTAAGTATTAGAAAAAGGAATAACGAACATTCAACTTGCCAAAGGAACGAAATTGAGACCACTGAGCGTTCCAAAGTTATGCTCTCTAAACGGGAAAAAAATTGCTGGTTTGGGAGGCGTTCTTATGGATTTCCGCTTCCCAGCGGATGCTCGTCGCTTAGGTTGCGCTAAGAAATTCATATGTCATATCAACTACACCTTGCTTCTTGGTTTGGCCATCAAATATAATTGTAGTTTGAAACTTTCTTTTCTTTAATTCGAATTAAACGTTTAATGACTAATGCAAGAAAGTTGAATTCTATAGCACGTTGATACTTTTACTGTTCCACACGGTATATGACTGTCTTGATATCTTGTTCATTTTAACTTAATTTTTAAATAACCTTTTTCTTTCACTTTCCGTGCTATTTGTATTCAAATACTGCAACGTACAGTAACTGCATATTTATTCGTTCCTCAGACCTTTTCATGCCGAATTTTAAAACAAATTACAAAAATTGAAGTGAGTTGAATTGAACTGAAAGAAAGGCCTCCCGATCCATTTTGGGGTTCCAATTTTAAAAACTCCCGTGCGATGTATTTCTTGTGCTTTTTCAATTTGCTCCATGTACAAACATAAAAATAACCCATTTCTAGCTGAATGATGTCATCTAATTCTAGAATCAGAGAGCACGAGAAAACTCACATTATGATAGTCAGTATGCCTATATTTAACTATATATGCATGGCAATCACTAAATTTTAAACAGGACACAAGTGTAATTATACAATACAAATATTTATAGCCCTACAAGATCTCTGCATCATGAGAACAGAAGTCTATACACTTGATCCCAAAATGAAGTCAAAACAGTTTTCATACGCAAGAGAAGAAAAGAAATGTACAAAAAGTGACTCCAAAAAATCATTGCATAGAGATTCTTCAACAAGAAGAGGCAATCAACTACATGTTACACACTGTTTCCAATACTACATCACTAGAGAAGCTACCTCTTGTAGTTAATATTACAACCTTCTTGATGAATGTTTTGATTGCAACTTTTCTTCTGTAAGTTTTCTTCTGATTAAATCATATCATTTTCGATACAAGTTCTCCCAACCCTTTGAGAGTTACAGACTAATACAAAGAACTTCAGGAACCACTTGCAGCAGACTGTTCACTTACGACATGTATACATATTTATAAAACAATAGCAAAACAACAGCAAAAGTAAATTACTTTAAATATTTTGAATATTCTCCCTTCCACCATCCTCGTATTTTATGGATGTAAAGATATCGCACGTTTAGCAATATACATTCTGAATCTCTCCAAAAATTTCCACCTAAGGCAAGCCACAATTCAAATCTGGGCACTGAATTTTATGCAATTTGCCCTCCTGTTTAACTTTCATATCCAGAAATTACCATATTTATCAAACTATTTCATACAGAAACATCAAATGCACCTGTGTACTTGTTTTTCCTCGGTAAGTTTAACATATACTTAAGCACAAGCACGTATTTCAACCATTCTGTGTACACTTTGTAACATCCAATTTGACATTTTTGCTTGCAGCTAATCTCCTAGGTATGACCAAAGCAGTAACTAAGTTGTGAAGAGCAACAGTTTGCCAACGTTTGCCAATTAAACGTTTCCCCTCTCAACAAGTTTAAAAGCTGTTTTTTCGAGTGAAGAACCATAAGCTCAGTATCACAGTGACTGGATTTTCATTTGAACAACTCAAAAACTACTCATCAAAAACACATCTCCATTTTCCCACAAACTGGAAGCAGACCAGTCATACTAATACGGTCCCGACACCGACAGGTCAAATGCTCCAGTGTGGACACTGGATGGGGAGCTTGGCACTGACTCAGACACCAGCTGGAGGTCGTAAGATCTTTCCTGTTTCCATGGCACCCCCAAATGGCAGGTGCGACCACAGCAGATGCGCTTCATGTAAGGTGCAAGGGCTGTACGAACCTCTTCACGTCGAACACAGAACATGATGAACACAATCAAGCCCTAAAATGAACAGCACAAGGAAGTTCCCGTTAAATTGATTGAGAATCCATTACTGTTTGTGTAGCTGACGGACACTAGTAAAATGTTGCCATGGATTGACCACCAATCTAATGCTCCAAAATTAGATTGTGAGGACTAACGTTATCTGTCACAGACCCTTACCTGGAAGGAATTGGCCAGACAAAAGATCAGCTGAAATGCTACAGTAGCTTCTTCAATGGCCAGGAAACCAAAACACCAGGTCAGTCCCATGAGGACAGAGATACCCACAGCATTCTGGAGGCGTTTGGAGATCTGCTGGGAGCGTGATACCTCTTTGACCTTCAGGAGACTACGCATGACCAAGACGAAAGTGACGATGTTATGGATGAGGATGAGACCGATGGGAGTAAGGAGACCAATGTACAGCACAAGACCAGGTCGCAGGAAACAGCTGAGAAATTCAACACGAAAACGAAGAAATTCATTGACCACTGACAGCTTGAAAAGACAGTATTTATTTAGCAAAACGGATTGAGGTAAACAGACTCAATACGGACGATTCACAAGAAGTTGCCATGGACAGGCCATTTTTCAAGTTTACAGTAAACAATAAAGGTCGACTCGATACGATTTGCATTTGATTGAATATCAATAGACAGAGGAAATGTATGACTGATCGAGGCGAGCCTTAAAAAAAACCCAACCTTTGATATTAATAAACACCAACATTCTAACCACCTCGAAATCTTCAAACCAGAAAACGGTGAAGAATTTCAGCTCCACATCCACAGCAGAGCCAGTGAAAAGAGCTTTTGTCAACTGTTTCAATGCACTGCATGGCAACCTGTTTGTGGTGAAAGCCAATGCTAATCGCCCATATTTGATTTGAGATACATCCCCAACAGTGTGTCTACCCTCCTCCACACAATATTAGAAACTGTACTTACTAATGCTCGTTCTGATAGTGATCTGTGGCTGCTGCCAATGTAATAATCAGCACAATCAATGGAGATCCTGAAGTGCATAATGAAGTGACAGCAAAATAAAACCAGACAGTTTTGACATTTTTATGCTTGAGTAATTGAAATGGCTCCTTAATATAAAAAAATACAGTTCAGGTTTGACACTGACAAGAATAAAAACCCGACCATAAGGCATATCCCCTCTACTTCATACAAACAAAATGTGCTGGCAAAACTTACCCCAAGCAATGAGGCTCGCCTTAAGCATGTATCGACGAGTGTCTTCTGGGAAGACCTTCACTGTGCTGACGTACATGTTCCTGGCTTCAACAGCCATCCACATCATGGTGGATAGAGTCAAGTAGTGGAGTAAAGCAGCCACGAACACACAACCACCTCTAGAGCCCTACATAATTTAAACAATTAGAATACCACAGCATTTTTGTCATACTGTCAAACAAATTCTCATAGCTGGGAGGAAATTTACATGCCAAATTCTTATTTATTTTAAAACAAATATTTATTCAGCCAATCAGACAAACATTGTGTTTGTACACATGATTGAAATTCAAATTTTACTTAATTTAATTTGACTGAAATTTAAATTTTAAATAGGAGATTTACCTCACTATTAGTTACTTCATATAGCAAAAACAGCTTTGCAAAATATAGCTAAACTTTAAAATGTGAATTTTCGAATACATCTGAGCTACTTAACTTCTGTGTTTGGCATAATGATGACACAACATTAAGTTGAGGCGTATACTTACAATGGCATTGTCTACACCAGCAAGGAAGACGAGGTACAACAGCAACAAGGAGAGGCAGAAATGCATGAAAATCTGACGAGATTTACTACTGCGGAGTTTCCTGTCAGTAGAATAAAACATAACTTTTATTATACAATCTATTGCAAACTCTAATGAAAATCATATTTGGTAACCCATTCTGAAATATGTCACAGTTCAATCAGCAACCCTTAGTCAGACACTCTCGATTTATCCTAGTAACCCGGGTATATGTTGTGCACGGACTACCAAGCCACATTCACCTGTGGTTGAGATGTGGTTGTTAATCAAACTTTAGCTCACATAACACTACCCGTGAATTCTGCATAAAACCATCCGATTCCTGGTGTCATCCCTGTACTTAAAGAAAGCCACCTGCTGGCGGCTGCATCCACTTCTTATACAGGCGCGGCTAAAGAATATCAGACTATGTCTTACCTGATAGCAAGATACACAACCAGCGTAATACCCAGAGCTATGATGGACAACACACAGCCAACCTGGCTGATTATATCAAGTGCCCTGGTTAGATGTGATTCTTCCATTCGACCCTTCACATTCTAAACATAAGAAACAATTACCAAAATTCAATGTGGCTTTTTGTTTACATGCCCCTGATGTCTTGATAAGGAAATCACAGTAGGATGTAGTAGTTTTAAACTTGTATAACAAAAGCCCCGGGTATCCAGGTTTTGGTTAAGGGATGCAAAGTGGATTTTTTCCTAATAATAACAGTCCGAGTTTTTTCATAAGTGACAATTCCTCAATGCTCCCCCAAAGGTAAAATTGCCATTTTAAGTGTTGACACTTTCAGTTCTTAAACAAACAAATTAATTGGTAAAATGTCTTGCCCCATATATGCCAGTGCTCTGGTGTTGATAATGAACCAACATCGAAATTCTATCTAGTACAAACCCTTACGTGATTTAAATATACAAGGTTTAAATCCTTACACCTCATTTACTGTGCCCCACAGGGCTTTTCAGACAGATGTACGCTGTTGAGAAACATACCACAAGGATGGCAAAGTTTGTTGCATGACTGCAGTTACAGGACACCCTCGTTTTGGTCTTAATTGCAAGAACACACCCAGCCGTTGACCAATCACCAATTCTGTCATTGAGCTGAAAATCCCAGAAGACGCACTGGATGGTGGTTCTTTTCCTTTCAGTTTCATTTATGTCAGGTGCCTGTGGAAAGAAATCGTCCATTAAAAGTCTGCATGTCACAGTTTGATAAAGCAATGAAGATACAAAGTATTACATACAATGACAAGGTTTTACAATTCCACAAATGAAAATCATGGAGAAAATTTCAAAGAGTTAGGCTGGTATGATGGAATGGTCTCCCCCACAAGTCCTACTTTTCTTCTCTCTGAAGGCAGGTACCTTGAATTCAATAACCAGTGGTTCAGTGAGGTTGACCAGTTCAACTTCTTCCACACTCAGAGAGACAACAGACCCTGCAACTTGCAGACTAGAACCATTCTCCGCTGAGAAGTTCCTGATCAGAGCTGACTGGAATAATGTGTCATCAGCGTAGATGATGAAACTAGCACGAAGTGACTGAGAGCTGTTATCTACAATGTAATCGTACATTAAAGGGAAAAAGCCAGGATTACGAACAAGCAAACATTAATGTGGAAAAGCTAGTGCTACCATTTCAAATCTACATATTACTGTACCATTAAGCATACTGTTTGAGAATCTTTTTTACAAGTCACCAGTGAAATTTGCATGATTTGTATGTAATCTTGGAACTCAACACAACAGAATAATATTGCATCAAGTCAAGGCCAATCACTTATTTCCACAAGTTAATGTTAACTACAAGTATAAAACAGTCACTAGTTTCAATTAGAACGTAGACTTGCCATTTCCAGCCTGTATCAAGTCAACAATGTTAGCTGGTAATCGGATGGAGGCTACAACCTGTTCTGGGATCTCGCTGGTATTCAGTACTGTCTTGACCTCAGTGCCTGCCAGTGAGCCAGATGTTGGCAAACTTTGCCCTGGCTGCTGCTCAACTGGCAACGAAACAAAGGTGAGCCCACCCCTAGCTTCCATGGGGTTCACACTGACCGCCTCGACAAGAATGGACTCCTCCTGTATGCTAACGCGACCTTCCTGCTGAAGGGTCAAAGAGACTTGATTCTCCACAGACTGGATGATTGCCGATGAGCTACTGCCATCAATGGACTGGGAATCTGAAGTTGAGGCAGTGTTGGCAACGTTGTTGACAGTCTCCACGACCAATTCAGTTACCTTCCAGGAAAAATAAGTTACAAATGTATCTCAAATCTGGTTGGTTTATTTCTAGTCCATGGTCTATTTTACACAACAAATCCTCATCGTCTGATTGGTGGGTTGTCCATCACATCATTGAAGGCCAAAAAGGGGGCAAACAGTTCTATTCCACGATAAACAGAACACTCTATTCATTAGTCACAAGAAAACATCCAAGAACTCACAGGTTATGCATGTTATTTGCAACATCTGAATCATCTCAAGAACAAGCACACACAAAACTGCATGATAAAACAATCACAAAGTGTCCCTACAAAGCACTAGAGCTCTTTTTCCTACCAACCTGCCTATCCCCTGACCCTGCATTGACAATATTGGTCAGAATGCTGGAAACCGCTGCAACATTTTCTGCACTAGATGATTGTGACGTCTCATTGACAAGAAACTCAGCCACCTCAACTGCATTTCCTTCACTGACTTCCACCTGCCAAATGGAAATAATCTTTCTTCTTAGGATCATAAGGGAAATGTACATTAAACTCCCATTCATATATACATACATAAGACAGTGTAGCCATTACCCATGGGTAAAAAGCTCGGTCTAAAATGGTTGACAAAGCACTGGCTGGTAGTGCGCCACCTAGAGCAGCACGTGCTATACGTGGACGTTGATCTCCACGAGGTGGTATTTTTGTAACTTCTCACTTGAGGAAAAAAAATAACACGGCCCGAGAGGTGTTTAAAAAAATGAAGTAAAATCTAGTGAAAATTCAATGAAAATATACAATATTTTGAACTTCTTCAGGTTTGTGACTTCAGCTCAGGCAGTGTCAGCATCCATTTTTCTGATCCAATCTTAAAACAAACGTTTAAGACCAGCCAAGCATGTTTTTATTCCTTTAAAATAGAAAGGTTGCAGTGGCTGACTACATTGCCTTCTTATTATTATCACTACATAAAAATGAATGCAACATTGTGCTTAAACATAAAAATCTCTAAACAGGTTAAGCATACATCCAAAACATCATCCAGGGTAATATTATTCCTTTCTACACCACAGCTCCGAGGTTCATGGAGCCCCCAATGGAAATACTGTGGGGGTGCCATGATGGAACAGTTACGAACAGCTACTGGGTCTCCAGCTGCAGAGATGAGGAATAAAAGAAAAAAATCCAATTACGATCTACCTCAGATCTCCAGATTATATATCCAACCCACTTTCTCCATCAACTAAGCCTAAATGAACATCTGGCCTGAAAAACGTGGTAAGAAAACCTCCATGACTGAACAATCAAGGTTCACATGGTTATTACTGACTTTCAGACTGCTTAACCCTAACAGTCCTCAATCCTTCACTTGTTGGAGGACTGTTAGGGTTAATATATGGTGTAAAACCTTGGACATACATGTAATTCAATTAATCCAAGGAAAAAAAAGTTTAGGATGCCTTGTGAGCTATCTTTTACTTCAAGGAAGACTCCACTTAATAACCAAAGTGTTCAGGTACATGTACTGTCCAAGATGCGCTAAGAAAAGCTTCACCACCACCAGTGGCAGAACTGAGGGGGGGCTTGCTCCCCACCTTTGCAACTTCATAATTGTATTCTTTTTAGTCTATTGGCCCGGGCTCCCCCCCACTTTTGAAACTGTTTCACCGCTGTTGTTAACCACTCCTTTAAGGCACTCACATTTACCTGCATTTACACTTTAATAAGAGAAGAAGCATGCAGGAAAATGCATTGCTACTTTAGGATATTATATATAAGACAGATTGCCTCAATGAAGGCAATACAACTATATACAGCATTTAAATTGGGCATACAATGTACTCACAGCTAGACAAGGAAGTAGTTTGATCTCACCATTTTGGGTCATGAGTGGGCATCTCTCAACAGACTTCGCAGTCAACCCTGCTTTTGTCACTGGCCACGTCAGCATTAATAGGAGAGGATCATAAGTAGTGCTGGCTGCACAAAAACCTATGAAGGACATTTTCCCAAGTATATCGATCACTGTCTGCATTTTAACTGACAAAACTTGAGACACAAAATATGGTAGAATTCAGCACTTAAATAAATGAAATCTTCAACTCTCCCACTTTACATGATCTGATGATACTAAGAGTCATTTGCTAAGTTCAATTACTTACATTTCAAAAAGTGCACTGCCCATATAAGCCTTTTGCAAGTTAAATTTGAATTAGATTTGAATTAGATCTGGTACAACAAATCATCTGATTGTACGTAAACATAACAATTTGAATTCCCAAGACTAAAGACAATGTTGCTATGACTTCACCTCATAATTCAGGGTAAGCTTTTGCATAGCGACCACCATCTCTGGAATGGACTGGGTCCTCTGTGCCCTTCTTATCCATAGAAAACAGTGTATTGGTGCAAGGCGTCTCTTATACAACTAAGCAAAAGCTTGCACTGAATCGTGAGGAATAGCAACAGTGTCTTTAGTATGGAGATTTCAAACTGTTATTTTCAAGTGAATTTAAATAACTCAAGTGTACCAGAGTTGATTCAAAGTTACTCACAAAAGCTCATTCACCCTTACATTTCAAAAAGATTTGAGGAAAACAGGAGTGCACGTTTTGATATTGGCCACTGCACAGGACCGGCAACAAAATGATTCCTTTTTCATCAATTCATTCAATTTTCCACTTCTCCATAAAACAGGCAATGATGCTCTCACAAGTGTGATACCTGTATCCAGCCACACTCACCAACAACTTGAAGTGAAAAGGAGCATTCTAAAACCACACCGTATGCTGCAAAGGTCTGGCGGTAGCTGATGTTATGGCTGCCAATCAGGAAGACATCACTGGGATTGAAGTTGGAGGTGAGGTTGGTGGGCCCATTCCATCCAGTTACATCCGGTTCTGACCAGCTTACACTGGTGTTGATGGAACCTGGTTCAGCATCGACAACCAAATTCACAGGACAGACTAGACCCACTCCTAAAGATACATATCAAATAAGGGAAATAAACAGGCTAATGCAAGTGAACTAAATCTTTCAGAATGCTTAAAATTCACGACTGTGAAGGAATCCAATGTTACATTCTTGCATCAAGTCCCATGTCCACTGTTTATTACATTAGCTATAAGCCCTTCCACAGTCCTGCAAAATTTCCATAAATTGATTCCTCAATAATCACACATTTTTGGTCACAGGAAATCTCTGGCCCAGTTGTGGTAATTAAAGTTTCCAGTGGCGCAAGCGCTGCAAGTAGCAGCTCCCTTAATCTGCAAATTCTTCGAAAGCTCCTGATAGACTTTTAAGGATCTTAGAGGATTAAGATTCAACTTGTAATCACAGCATATTAACAAGTTAAACTGAAACAGTCACGAAGAACATTGTGCACATAAATGTACCTGTAACCGTGATGGTGAAATGACACATGTCCTGGTTCCCAGAGGCATCAACAGCATTATACATCACCTCGGTAACACCAATGGCGAAGATACCATTTTGCCCACTTTGACTGCAGACCAGGATGGCAGCTGTTTGGCAGGTGAAAGTGACATTGGCTGAACCAGAGTTATCCGTGATCATGGGAGGAGTCCAGCTGTAAGGCACCTGATTGGACGGTGGCTTGACAGGGATGATGATGTCAGCAGGGCAACCGGTGATCTTAGGAGGTTCAGTATCTAAGGTGATATGATAAATTGTTTATCACAAAGTCATTTCTATTATTTAATTACGAACTAAAATGTAAAAGTGCTATTTAAAAACGAACTTCAATTACCGATGACAGTGACGGTGACACTAAATTGGCACTGTGTCCCAAGTCCCTGGATGCGATATGTGACATCAGTGATACCGATACCAAACAATTCCCCTGACTGATGATCCGAGTACACAAGAACTTGTGCATCATTTTCACCAGTGCTTTGTGTGGGTGGGGTGCCAACGTAGAACATCACTGGTTGTGGGGGACCGTTGAAGATGACCTTTGGTTGCACCCATGATGCACTGGCAGTGGAATCACCAGGAGTGGTGACAGCTTCGATACTGGATGGGCAGTTCAGACCAACTCCTGCACAACACCACAAGTTAAGAACTTAAAACAGCTGTGATGGTCACAGGTCAATATGGTAAAGAAACTACCACCTCACACCAGCTCGCCAAAAATACCTTCAAATTTCCAAAAAGCTGTTTCAAACAGTAATAACTGTACATAAAAATGCAAGAGCAGTAGTATAAATTGAAAATAATAAAATATTTTCAAGAATATATTACATATACTGTTCAAGAATTTGAGAATAATTTCTGTCTGATATCAAAGAGTAGACTTTCTCAAATTGTATTATCAAATTATACATAAAGTCAACCTTTTTCATATGCAATTCTAAGTTCCTCTCAAGATTTTTTTCAAAATTAGAGAGAGGGCATTGTGAAATCTTGAGAGACTGTAGGGCTGTGAAGATGAAAAGTATCTCTCACAAAAGGCCTCAACATGCTTGCCTGTGACAATAACAGTAAAGTGGCATTGTGCTGAGTTTCCGTATTTATCTGTCACGGTGTAGGTTACCATGGTAACACTACCAACTGGAAACATGTCACCGGGTAGATGATTTTGAGTCCATTGCAATGGTGAACTTGGATCTGATGCTGTCACCTCAGGCCATGATACGGAGATAGATGTAACACTATTGTCTGCAAGGCGACTGATGTTGCTAGGACAACCAGTGACAAAGGTAGGCAGAGACTTGTCTGCCAAAAAAGGGTTTCCAAATGGAAATACACTAGTGATTGCAACCACAAATAAAGTACATAATTGCTTTTAATACTAAAGAGGAAAAAATACATTTCAAACAAAATTTCCCTTTACCAATTGCAATGACGTAAAAGTAGCACTGTGTTCCCACTCCTTGGATGCGATACGTGACGCGAGTAGCACCGACACTGAATGTATCACCTGGCTGGTAATCTGAGTACACACGCACTAAGCCATCAGTATCACTGGTAGCCTGCGTAGGTGGAGTGCCGACATAGAAAATCACTGATTGTGGTGGACCTTGAAAGGAAACAGTGGGTGGGACCCATGATGCATTGGCAATGGAAGCTTCAGGACTAGTGAAGGCTGTGACATTGGAAGGACAGTCCAGGCCAACTCCTGCGAAACGACACAAGGGACATACAAACTGAAACAGAGAGAAGAAGCAGAAATATCTCCTAAAAATCAGTTTTGTGACTTTAATATACATGTACGTACCTGTGACAGTCACAGTGAAGTTACAAAATGCTGAGTTTCCGGCTTGATCTGTCACCATGTAAATTACCAAGACAGAATAACCAACTCGAAACATATCACCAGGTTGATGGCTCTGGATCCACTGCAATGGCAAACTCGAATCAGATGCCGTCACCTCAGGCCATGACACTGGGACAGACAACTGACTGTCATCCGCAATTTGATTTATGTTGTTGGGGCAACCAGAGGTAAAAATGGGTGCAACACCATCTGATGATAAAGAAAAACACACCAGTAAGTTCACAGAAAACAGAGCCATGGACTGCAGAGTACCACCTGAACCATAAAAGATGAACCACTGCTAACCATTTTCGCAGTTTCAACCACTGTAACCTTGTTGGCAGATGCAGACATAGCTCTGATGATCGGGCAACAGCTGGCAGTGACCTCCATTCTGGCAAACCCTTTGATGGCAAATACTCCCTTAAACAAACTAAAACCTAAACATAATCACCGAGAACGACGTATGCTTGGAAAATACACAAAGCTGACATGTAGTTGGACATTTCCTGGTTACAGAATAAACAACTGGGTTACAGGGTGTCTTTCAAGAGTGTCATCAATTACTTCATCAAACATTAAGGTCAGACCCACCATGCAAAAACTACTTTCACTTTTTCTGACAGCCCTAGCTGCCACCTTTCCTCACCTTTAAATACGTGTATGCCTCCACCTTTTCCAAAACTCAACGAGCCATGATTAGTTGCCAATCTTCCCTGAGCATCGACACGCAAGACAGTGTTTGTGGCCCAATCCGTCCAATAGATGTAGTCATAGTAGTATACAAGGTCAAATGGATGAATATTGAGACTGACGAGGTCAATTAAGATAGTCCGACCCTGGCCCAAAAGGTCAGAGTATTCAATCCGGTCTAAACCAGCATCACACCAGTACAGTCTTCCCCCTACGGAAAAAGAGAGTATAATTTGGGAATTTCTGGGGGAGGTTAGAGGCAGAATGGAATTTTCATGTCAGTCATCTAAACACAGGAGCAAGTGGCATATTTTCCCCAGATTGTAAATTTGATTTCAAAGCTCTTTTTTGTCCAATGCACAAGCTTCATTTCTGTAAAATTACAGGCTTTACAATCCAGGAAAGTTTGATTACAGTCAAATGATTCACTGTAAATTGTTTGTTTGCATTGGAGAGGTGTCTTGTTCTTGATGTCTTTCTTTTATGTCAATGAGGCTACAATTACACACAGAATACAAGTCTAGATAATTGGACATGTTTAAATTGTTGGCGGTATGGCAGGGGCTGTTCAAGGCAGCAAAAATGAAAAGGCAGCAGATGAAAAGGAAACTAAAGAAACAGCCACGCTTGATTCAGACAACTAATTGGGACAGACTTGCTCCTACTATGGTATTTGTGTCATAAAAAATTATAGAGCTCTCTCTCTATACATACATAGTTTTAACAAATAGGTTAAAATTAAAGTGCTAACTTCTCATTTGCCCAGAGAGAATTTGATGCCGTCCTGTGGGACGAGACATTTTAAATTCATGTGCATGCTTGTAAAACATTTGAAATGAGATAAATGATAAATATTGCATAGTGCATTCTACATGAAACTACAACGCGCATGTACAACCTACGCCAACGTCAGCTTGACTTTTGAATAATATGGACACGTACGGAGCAATGGAACACATTCATTCATGCCAACATCCACCATACCTGATTATTTTAAAATGAACGTTTCTTAACATTCGAGCAAGGTCGTCGGATTCGTATGCACATCTTTCAATGGTTGTCTTTCGATGACTAAGTTCAGCTAAATTCAAAAGTAAATTGTTCCCTATAATTCACTCAGTGTTAAGTGAGTTGACGGCTCTGGAGCGGCAGCTGTTGAGTGCATCGGATACCAATAAAATCTTACTAAAAATGTCACGGCAAAATTAATGTACAGTGCATATGCGCACACATTTGCATTTTTTGGTGCAAAGCAATATGAAACGCTCATTTACTAATTGTGCATTCAGGTTGTTTACATAATCAGCTTTGCTGACATATGTTATAGGAAAAATATACGAATATGCAGATAGCCGTACAAAATTTCAAGTTTTTCCCAAAGCTTTGTGCACAAATATGAATGCGCCCATTAGGCAACACTTTGTACATGAGTCAGCGCTCGTTTTTATACATGGCCCTATGTAAAAACTTCACCTAGTATTTACCTTCCATATCAAGAGCTAAGCCATTTGGCCACAGAAGGTTGGTATCAATCAGAACACGACGACGAGAGCCATCAGTGTCAGATCGCTCAATCCTTGGGTAGCTGCCCCAATCTGTCCAGTACAAATGACTGAAACCCCCCCAAAGACAGGTGCATTTTGAATCAGTGGTAACATCATTGAACTTAAATCTTCAATAACCCTGGTTCGAATCCCATCAGAGGTATGATATTGACTAATGTTTTGTCCCTTACCCATTCCCTACTGGACAAACTTCCCTGGTCTCTGTTCATTTCTTCTCTTTTGCTGCTTCTTAGAGTCATGGTGATCCAGGGCTCAATTTTACGGTACTGTTTAACAGTTTGCAGAAAAATTGCATGTACCATGGCAGAAAAGTTTGCTCAGTAAAACCGTAAGAACTATTTCATGGTGCTGCCTTGTATGGTTGTGTCTATGGTTGCACCCATGTAAAGGTTTCTAGTTTTGTCACTATATACCGGTATGTGCAAATTTTTCCTCCAAGTTAGCTTGCCTTTTGCCATGCTTATTGCTTAGCAGTGCCATGAAACTGGGCCCTAATAAACTACCTGGGTTCAAACTCTGATCATTCCAACAGGAGGGGTAGGCTGTTCATAGTCAGTCCTAACCTGATCTCATGGGTTTTTTGGTAGACATTTTAGAAAGACCAAAAACAACCACAGAAAATGGGTTTTGCAGCAATTAAGCCACAGTGTTTCATGATAGGATTACATTGTGTACTGTTATATATGAGCAACTGACAGATGAATTTCAGAATCAAAATCAGAAGTGAAAAATTCCCATAACCCTAAAAGAGCCTGTTATTTTGGACCATCTCACACTGGGGAGGGGAGGATTCTACCAGCAAAGAACTTGGCCGTCCCATCGCAGATTTTTTTTTTCAATTGGCATTCATATAAAATGACTACTCACCAGCACAAATGGAACTGAAACTCAATCTGACATTTGGTTTAGTTGTTACAGACATTTGAAATTGAAGGCCAAACACATGCCAACCCACATGCACTTATCTACAGTATATGTTTTTTTGCTGACCTGCCTTGAAAAATGGGGGCTACAAGAGCATATGTTAAGTTCCATTTTCATGAAATCGGTGTCAAGATGACCCCGAAGAGTCACTGAGAAAATTCCTCAAGGTTCAGCTTGTGAAAAAACACATGCACTGTGGCTCTATCTGAAAAAAATATTGAGAGGGCGGAATCTGCCCCCCCCCCGGCTCTTTGAGGGTTAAGAAAATCCACTTAAATGAAGAAGTGTTTCAGAGAAGCTAACTTGTTACTGGGGTCTACAACAATTGCTCTTGGTTCCACGGCCCCAAGTGATGCATTTGTCAAGTTGAGGACCACAGATCGACTCTGACCATCCATGGTAGCTCGCTCGATCAGATCACTGCCTGTGTCAGTCCAGTATATCATGTAGTTATCAACATCAAGAGTCATGCCGTCTGGGGCTAAGAACAGAAAGGAAAATTTTGTTTAGATAACAGAAAAATGGAGGATTATTACATTGACTGACGAAGGATAAATGTGTACATGTAGTCTGTCACCAAAAGGAAAAAACGAGCATTAGTTGAGTGTTGTATGACGTTTGCTTACTCTGTAGATCACTTAAGATAATCTCAAATCTGCTCCCATTCAAATGAGCTCGATTAATAGTTGACAGCGCGATATCGGTCCAATACACGATGCCTTCTTCAGGGTCATAGTCAATGGCAACAGGTCGGCTTATGTTGCTATGGCTACCATTCAATCCTGGGATGAGGGTAAAGTTGAAGGTGTCTGTGGGGGCCACGAAAAGTCCTGGAGGATCCAGGTTGGCCACAAAGACCAGATCAAAAGGATCTGAAAGAGAAAGAAATGACCGGAAAATGGAAAAGTAATGATGCAAATTAGGCAATGACAGGAATTAGACGTATTAACACTGCAAAATGCCAGAGTTAGGGTAAAATTGTATACGTACACATACATATGCGCACACTTTCACAACTAGGATAGAGGGTACAGTATAGTAATACTTACGACTCTGAGATTCACAAAATTGTCCGAGGAATTCAGAGCTACATATACAAGTGAAGCCCTCTGATGTGCCTTGACAGGTTGCCCCATTCATGCAAGGGTTACTGTTGCAAGGGTCATCTGGGGAAAGAAGTCATAAAAAGTTCTTTTTTATAAATGCTAAATTTCTGAGGGGTAACATTTATTTACTCTTAATGGTTAATCACAAAAAAAATACTAGAGTACAAAATTATAAAGATCAAGTTAAAGGGAGGTGGCAAAACCTGCAAATTCTTGAAAAAAATATTGTGGAACAAAATGGGCTTGTAAAAAGGTTATTTCCCCTTACGTTGGTAAAATAAGAAAACTAAGGAAGTACAATTGACGTAAAAAGAGTCTGAAGAAATTCAAAATGGGCAACATGTTTAAGTCTAGTGATTATGACAATTCCATTGATGTGAAACTTCCAAGTCAATATATCATCAACGAAAAACACCCCAAAGTTCAAACTTGTTAACTTTTTCACAAAGGTTTTATGCATAACATATGTAAAAAAAAGCTAACAGGTCAATTTTTCAAAGCACTATAAACATGAATAATCAAAACTTGAAGCATTTAAAGAATTATCATTCACTGAAGTCTGAATGGCAGAAGAATTTTGAAAGACCAACAATTCCGAACAAAATTTTAGTGAACTAAATATGGCATAGCTTAAAGTACAACGAGATGCCAAAAGTGTTCACATATTCATCACATGGCTTCAATTGTTAACATATGGTACGTACCAAATATTTCACAATTGCTTCCAAAGTATCTCTCTCTGCACTGACAGAAATAGCCAGGACTAATGCTTGCTGACAAGTAACATGTACCTCCATTATAACATGATGAAGCAGCACATGGGTTAGCTACAACATGAAACAAAATCAAATAAATGAGAAATCAGTGAGTTTTGCCCATGATACAAATACTGTATTTGGCCAATACCCATTAATGTCTAGTACCAATCTATAGTTTTCTTTTGGCAGTGCAACAGAAGTGGTGACCTTTTGGGCCACATTTGGCAAAGAAATCAGCACTACAGAATGGTACACAAAACAAGATTTTGACAAATTGTTAGCAAGAGCCTTTCGAAAAGATGCAGCTGGCACCTGCAGTACATGTATATGAATTGCTAATTCACCCCAACTCACCCAGATTACAGCTAGCTCCATCCTGTCCATCCTTACAGACACACTGGTGACTGGTCTGGAACTGGCGACAGCGTTCCCCATTTCCGCAAGGCATTGAGTTTACACAGCTGTGATCAAAGAATGTATCTGCCAACAAGAAGTGTACATCACTTTAACAAAGCAGCAGTAGAAATTGATTAAAGTCAGACTTGAGACCCAGTACAATAGAGCTGCGTCAATTCGAATAGTTCACCATTCAAATATTTGACTTTCAATTTGTTCGGATATCCGAATATTTGGTTGTACATGTACCAACCGGCAAATTGTTGATGAACAAACCATTATACAAAATTAGTTGCAATAACACACACAATTGTACATTATAATCAATATAATAGCTTCCAACATCTAGGAGTATCTCCAGCCATGATTTAGCAAGATTTAAGAGATGAACAAGACCTCTTGCCTTGTTGAAAGTTTCTATTCCTTTTAAATTGTTAAATGAATAATTTTAAATTGTTGTACGATTTCTGACACTTTTCATTTGAATCTGCTGGAAACAAGCCTCCATACATGCCATACTGCGATTTTCTCATTTAAAACAAAAGAAAACTTTCCCTTCCTTTTCATGAATTTTGCATTTGAATATTCAAATTCTAAAAATAATATTTGAATATTCGACAATCAATCAAATATTCAGTTATTTGGATATTCGACATAGGCCTACTATACAATGCTGGCATACACAAGCAACTGGCAACAACCTTATCGATTCTGTAACTATGAAGTTTCAATACATGCTACCGGGGCAACTTACCCTGCATGAACATGGAATGAAGCCTATTCATGCACATGCATGTATGGCCCCCCATCCATGGTATATACATTTAGATGAATTGACCTTTAGGTAAGAAGTCACAGAAGATCAACTACATCCCGGCTACTTTTAGACTCTGGCATTGCCACAAATATTTGGTTGTGGTAAGAAACAAGATGTGCACCAATCGAAGTCTCCAGCTAATGGCTGATGAAGCTATGTGCCATTGACAAGCCAGTTGATTCAGACATGACTTCGTTGTCAGTGATAATCTGGGAGGCAGCGTTGATGACAAAGAAGGCACACTGTAGACTCACAATGACGTTTTCCACATGACATGATTTCAAACTCTTTGTTAATACTACCCATCTTCACTCAGACAAGTCTGAGGAGGCACTATATATTGTAACGCTCATTATCAGATCTCACATGAGCAGAAATGACTTCTATTTCTGCTTCCAGAATTACACTGTACACTATGGCAAAAGGTCTTAAGTGTGGCAGATTGCAATCCTCTCTTAACTTACCACTATGAATGTGCATTCCTCCTGGCCGTGAGAAGCTGGCAGAAATCACTGAAAGGACCGGTGGCAGATCTAAGGTCAAATTGATAAGCAGGTAGCGCCAATCAGTCCAGTACAAATTCCCCCGGTAGAGTGCGATATCAAACGGGTGGATGTCATAGGTTTCTAGGCTTGCATGGCGCTGGCGATCCTGGCCCAGAAAGGTAACAGATTCAATGCGATCCTTTCCAGCATCACACCAGTAGATTCTCCCACCTAAAACACAGAGAAACAGGCAAAAAAATTCCATGCATCTTTCTTAGTCCTTGTATAATGTGTAAATACACCCTCAAAACACACTTATCACACAAATATGCTTTCCACACACCACCTAACATGTACGTAAACCTTTATCACACAGTCAAGACAAGCTGGAGTAAAAAAAACCTTAATAGTTCACTTGCACTGTTAATATTCTGTCATTTCTGGATTTTGGAGCACAATTCAAATTTCTGAAACATTTGTTCATTTTGCAAATGATAACCCAACCCTGCAATTCCTCTCGACTGTCCACTGAACGTCTTCACTTTCCACACCGCTTGGGCATATTTTAAATGTACATTGGTCCACCTAAAGAAGACATCAGAAGAACGTTCCACAGACGTCCTCAATTTCTGCATCAGCACATACACACCATGCTTCAGTATACAAACACTAGAATCCTAATGGAAACTCATGGTACTAGAATTGGAACGAAACCATCCAGCAGCAAAGGCATGGCACATCTTCAGTGCACTGCCCCACTCAGTCCAATACAGGTGGCTGGAAAGATGAATGTACAATTTTTGTCACTTTCAGAAAAGCCATGAACATCGTTTAGAACAATCAGATAACACATACATACCTTGCTTGTCCAGTGTCAGGCCATTTGGCCATTGCAGTTCAGTGTTGACCAGAACCATCCGTGACGTGCCGTCCGTGTTTGCGCGCTCAATCTTTGGTGCACTGCCCCAGTCAGTCCAGTACAGGTGGCTGGAAAGATACATGTAAATGTGCAATTGCAGTCACTTTCAGGAAAACCATGAATATCCAAAAAACAGTGTGGTTGTATAACAATTCTTCATTACTCAAATGTACAAAAATTCAGCTTTTCAAGAGTTTTTCTGAGAAACTTTCTTGAATCATCCAAAACCCTGCAGTCTACTGCAGAGTCACATTCTCTGTATTTCAACTTTCCAAAGGCATCAACGAGCCCCAAGTATGGTTAAATCTGCTGCCTTCTAAAACTGACAGCATCCTCCAAAGCCAATTGATGGATTTTGATGGATCTGAGGAGATACATGTATATGTGGACCACAACTGCATGCATGTACATCCGATAAGGCTTGACAACTCGAGAACAAAGAATGTTCCATCTAAGAATGCATCAAAAGAAATTATTTGAAAGTTGTGGAATGTTTCCTGATTGTTAAAGTCTCAAGATCTGACAGATTTATACAAAGTAAAGACACAATGTTAGAATTAAGGAGCCTTTGGAGGATTTCTTAGAGAATATATGCATGCATGTCAAAGGAATTAGGATTTAGGGAGAAACAGATATCATCCGGTACCCATTTGACACATCCACGACTATTGCCCTGGGTTCCACGGTCCCCAGCGATGAATTTGTCAGGTTCAGGACCACAGAGCGATCTAGACCATCCATGGAAGCTCGCTCGATCAGATCACTGCCTGTATCGGTCCAGTACATCAGACGATTTACTGTGTCAAGGCTCAACCCATCAGGCACTGCAAAAGTAATAATCAAGCTCACAAGTGTACAATTACATTTTCCCAATTGAAGCAAGTACGATTGATCCATCCTCAATGACATCCATCCAGTATGCCACCAGAATATTATTAGAAGGGAGGGTAGATTTGTTGTGAAGCATCAGGCAACTTACTGAAGCTGTATACTTCCAAAATAAGAACACAGGGGCAAATAATTTAAATGAATTACCAGATAGAATTTACTACGTTTTTGAAAAGAAATAGTTAACTTGCAAAACGACAGCAATGGATTCTTTGGCTTTCACAAAAGCAGAAGTGTACAGGGAAGAACTGGCCATAAAACAACATGAACACTGAGTTACTCATTTTCAGAAAGTACTAGTACATGTGTACTATCGAAGGTTTGAATACAAAATAATTGGATTCTGATCTCAAAATTTGGTTGATGAAATAAACATAACAGTGGGTGGGACTGAATAAACCAATTAAAGCAATCTTCTCCAACATGTCCAACTGCACGCACACTTTCAATGGGTTAGGGCCTACCATAAAATCATTCACCACTGAAGTAGATCCTAGAATAGTTCCACTTCAAGAAAATAGGTCCGTAAACTTAATTCAGGCTACCCACACACTCAGTTCTTTGCCATACATGTAACATAATCTATTTAGAATTTTCTACACTTCAGATCTGAGGCACTTATGGATTACGAATCAAGTGCTTACAACTGAGATCCCTCAAGAGAACAACAAAGCCACTCCCATCCACAAAGGCACGACTGATGCTCAAATGCTGCACATCGGTCCAGTACACCATGCCATCAATGGGGTCGTAGTCAATGGCAACAGGTCGGAGAACATGGTCACTAAAGGCAGGGATGAGAGTGAAATTGAAGGTGTCTGCAGGAGCCATGAATATCCCGGGTTGTGTCAAGTCAGCTACAAATACCAGATCATATTCACTTGAGCTGGTTCCTCCGACTGCAAATCAATGAAATGAAAATTACTTTTGACCATTTCAGGTTTTGATTTTGAAAGTCAGTTCAATAAGTTTAACTGTGTTAAAGTACACGTAGAAAATCCCTTGGTATGGTAATTTTTAACCGTTCGTATCTCTCACCACACCAAATGTGTCCTTTAAATTTCAAGCATACTGGTCGAAAGTCCATACAAATACATAAAAATAAAAAAACAGGTTTAATGTGTGCAATTTGAAGGCAATATTGTCTTGAGAGTTTTTAAATTTTCTGATCGAGATTTCTCAAACTGACACAGCCTGTTTGGTTATTATTTAACACATGATGTACATGTACATGTATGCTCCTGTTCTTGATTCTTCACACAAGTTTGATTTCTGCAAAGTTTTATTGTAAGATGTGAACAGAATATGAAACAAGCTTTCAGATGGTTCTAAGCATGATGACTATGGTGTATTTGAAAGGTCACAAAATTGTCTGTAATTAGCCTTTGTGATTGAAAAAGGTGGAGTTTTGTCCAAAATGTAATACTTTTATGAAAATATATTTAAAGGATCCAGGAAATGAATTTTTCTTAGAATCACTTTTTTGTATCTCTGTACTCTTCTTCAATGTATGAAGACTGTTTGACATCTTTTTTGAGTTACCTGAACTGAACGATGCACTTTTTCAAACATTAAAAATTGACCAAGCATTTCTGGACAAGTGAGGGCACTTAATGTAAATCCAGGAAGACATGGTTCAGGTTGCATGCTTTGATGTTCATGTTGTGAACCGCATATTTGCTATCTGGGAATATTTCTGTGAAAAGGATTTTGCTGGATTAGTACCATATACTTGTCAACACAGTGCTCAATACATTGCCAAATAAAATGAAATCTGCCACAGCAGTGGTTAAAAAATCTAGAAATTTTCTGTGCACAAATCATTGCAACATTGAGATTCAGTGCCTTGCATGACTTCATAGTTCTATTCATAAATATGCAAATAGCATAAGCATGAAACCCAAAACGCATCAAAATATGGGTTAAAATTGCAAAATAAAAATTGAAAATGAGGTTACTTGAAACCCAAAGATGCAAATTTCAAGGTCTTTTTGTAAAATTTATAAAAATACATGTAATTCTATTTCCTGGTTCCTTTAAAAGCGGCTGATAAAGCTACATGTAGTAAATTGATTTCGGGCAACCCTGAAGCCTTGAAAAGCAGTCAATATCAGTCAAAATCAGTCAAGTGACATATGATTTGTCTACGTACTGTACAGGGGAAGTATTGGTACAAGGAATTTTTGACTGTTTTTGATGGCTACAGCAAAAGGAGGGTTAATACATGTATATGCCAACTACCCAAATGAAGTTTTTTGAAAATCACTCCAAAATGACGGGCTCCTTAACTGAAAATGAATGCAGAAATGTATTTTTCTGTACTACACGGTATGCGTGTAAATGTACATGAACATGTTGCTCAGGAATGCTTCTTCTGGAGGACTCAGTTAGAGGGAGACCTGCAGTTAATGATAACACAACTAGTGTAAGTTGTATTTTTATCTACAAAAAGTTATCATGTTGACTTTGCAAAGCTTATCAGCCAACAATTCAGCTGCAGTGTACATGTACATGTAATAATGTGGCTCAATTTGTACTGTACTGTTTTGACTTCAAATTACCCACTAATCCTGCGACTCGTTAACACAAGAAGCTCCCCAGTAATGTTGTAATTGTAATGTTACAAGCTTTCCAATGATGGCAAACACACATGCACCATCATGCATGTCCATCTAACCATTAATTATTGTCTAATGTTAGTTTGTTGTACACTGTGTTAGGCCCGACCTCCGGCCCTACAACTGTAGTCTGTGGCCAGTGTGTAGGCACCATCAATATCATATCTTGGCCAATACCGATATTTTTTTTATCGATATTATCAATGTATCAAATTTTATTCATTTTAATTGTCAAGGTATTATACAGGCATGAATTGCTGGTATATTGTTCTAAGGGTACACCCCTACACTGTAATGTTGCGATCCAGTTCACTTGGCGACATGCCTACATGCTCTAGCATGCTGCCGTGCATAGCGATATCATCAGCATGTACATGTAGTTCTAGTCTACATACATGTACAAATGGTTAGCAAATAATTCTGTTTTGGAGGATAAATTTTGTGATGATTTTGAGGCAAAGTGTACGCAAATTATTGAGTGCGAGACTGAGATACAGTACATGTAGGTGACTGAATTTGTTCTTCAGATGTCGCCGTATAAGCTGCCAGGAGTAAAAGCAACAAGGACATTTTTCACTCAGCGTGAGAACCAATGTAAGCCATGGCTTATCGAAAATTACGGTAATGTGGCGATGCACTTTCATATTTTTTAATAAAGTTCATTCCTCAGTCAGTAGCAATATTTTCAATATATTTTTCAATATTGATGGTTTCGAAGTTTTTATATTTTCAATATTTCCCCTAAATGCGACATTTTCAATATATCGATATTTCCAAATAACTAACATCGGCGATATCGATACATGTATATCCACGGTGCTTACCACCAGTGTAGGGTTCCAACTTCCACGTTGGCCGTGCACCCAAGTTCGTCACTTCGTTATTCCATGGAGGCAGAATACCTCCATGGTTATTCATACCGCACGTCTAACATCGAACCCCAAAGTTGACATCTGGGGGCAAGGGGGTTAACGTTGCGGTCATCACAGATCAATGTTGTTACCTAGCAGGCATGAAAGTGCCATGCCTGACTGAAGATTCCATGCCTACATGTACATGTACACGTACGTACAAGGCCAAGGGCAGCCGGCAGTCACGTGTAGCTTTATGGAAGTTGACATTATCCGCAGCGCCCTCTCTTGACCAAAGCCCAACTGTTAAAATTTCGCTCGTCAAGAATAAACCACCAGAGGCGTCCGGGTGTTTTGCATTATTAAGCTGCTTAAGAAAATTATTTTGATCGTCCTTTTTTCCAGAAAGTTGGGTCAGGTCGGGCGGGAGGTTTTTTATTTTACTTTTCTCATAGCACCACTAACCTGACATGAACCTTTAGATACAAACACCTGATAAACTTACATTTCCGTGTTTTCCAGTTTTTATCTTGGCTCTTAATTACGAGTCTATAAGTGACTGGAACATTGTCTTTGGTTTTACTGTGAGCGTGCGCTGCGGGCCGGTGCAGCACAGAGACTCGTAAAGATAACGGAGAAGTTTCGCTTTTGAAGTTATTGCCTGTTTATAAATGGAATATGATTTTGTGGTCGGAGTTGAATTACCATACCATTATTTCAAGGGAGAGGTCGGGACATTTTCCGCCCAGGTTCTGCAAAGTTGTTGTTGTTGCGAGGGTGTGCCCTATGTATATCCGCCTGTAGGTTTCCTGGATATCTTAACACGATTTTCATTCATGAAACAAATCATATAGGGAAACTGACTAGGTTCTTATGAATGATTATAGAAATGAACAAAGAAATTGACCGGAGCGGGATTTGAACCTGCGGCCTCTGGAATACCGTACCAGTGCTCTACTAACTGAGCTACTCTATGTTGGTGGCTCTTCCCATTTGTCAATATCTCTGTTCGGGCATGGGCTCTAGCCAGACGCCATTAATTAAACCTGAAACACCATATGTAGCCAGAACCTTATCCTCTTTGAGTTATCCCTGTTTTTCATTCCAATTTTTTACACCTTTTTTGTCGATTTCGGCCATTGAAATTGATTCAGGACAATTGCAAATTCGTCAATCGTCTGACGATTTCAAATGTTGGTTCTATTTGGAAGGAGGAGTATTGCTATTTCGTCTTGGCCACTAAGCCGCGGCCGGTTAATACTTCAGGCGAAAAAAGAAGGCGATATGCCAAAATGGCAAAATGCAAAAAAGGAAGCCAATATGACGTCATTAAACTTAGTCCTAGTTGATGATATGTGTTCAATGTTTCCGAATCTGCGCAATATCAATTTGATCTCTCCTCATAATTTCGCGTTTGTGTTCGATTCTGCGCCAAATTATGAGCCGGCCTTTATTCTTCAAACAAATGCGCCTTGCGTCGAGCATGCTGGTCATACGCTTGAAAATTGCATGCACCAAAGTCGTCAAACCTCTCTGCACTGAAAAACTACCTGGGTTAAATTTTAACCCAAGGTATAGTGAAAACTGTAACTATACCGAAATATGGGCTATGTTAACCCAATTTTGGGATGGGAATTACTTTCTGTTTCATTTGTCACTAACAAAATGAGTGGATGTTATTGTTTGATTAAAAACAAACCAAAAATTAATTTCAGTCCCCTAAATTGGGTTGAAACAACCTAACCTCTTGGGTAGTTGCTGTTTCCCCCCCCCCTTGGGGTAAAATTTAACCCAGGCAATTTTTCAGTGTGCAACTCGGTAGAATAGATACATCTCTCTGGTAAGGATATTCCATCCATTTGTTTTAACTGTTCAGCGGTCACTAAAATTTGTTCACTTTGAGATTTTTATGTGTAGGCCTATAGTTCGCTTTTTTTGAATTAACGGTCTTTTTTAAGGTTTTCAGAAATTCACATAGAATCAAATCTTACAGGGGATTTTAATGTCTGACTTCATCTTTCTTTCCGAACTTATTATTTTTCTTCCTGATCTTTATCTTTTATTTTTTTCTCTGTCAAACTTTTGTTTACTTTATGCCCCTCTGGCAGCCATGTTCTCTTTGCATTGCAACTAAACTCCTTGTTTATTAGAGAGTGGACAAAATAATGCGTTCAGTTGTGCTTGAGTAAAATGGGACTAAATTACCTAACAAACTTAGAGAGTTTGACACAAGATGAATTTGATTTCTGAACGCTCTGCTATCCCTTGGACGAATTTGAATAGTGATGACGAATATTGTCGATGTGGTCTTGAAATGTGTTGACCAACTTTTGAAATTTAATTCATGGTTAAAGACTAAATCAGTTTTAGAAAGGGCGGGCTTTTTTTCTTGGGCTAAATTCAAAATGTCATGAGGTGAATTGAACAAGAAACGTTTTAAAATAGCAAGGAACCCCTATACTTCGTTATGTTGCGCACAAGTTATTCGTAGTAAGGAAATTATTGGAATGAGGAATCACAAAAACATAGTATATAATAAAGTTATAACTTTTAATAACGAATTAGTAGTTTGAAGTAATAAATCAATAATTCTAAATAATAAATTACTAATCTATAAAAACGAATAAGTTTTCCACTGGAATTTTTATTTTACTAGAACACTTGAGCTTTTATATTTTGTCGAAGTCAGGTGTTACAAACTATATTTGTATTTATAAACTATATTTTTCCTTAAGTTAGATATATATTTTTTTAATTTTGTTTTTCAAGTTTGTTTTTATGAAACAGAATTTAACTTGAAAATATATAAGCCTATCTCTTGAAAATCAACTAGGAAAAACATCTTAAATCAAAGTGGAAATGTGCCTAATGAAAAAAAACTTCAAAATAATATGCTTCACCTTTCGGCAATAACACTTGATGGCACTACAGGGCTTTTGTAGTAAAAAAATATCTCCGTTGTTGCCTAAATTATAGAGGACTCAGTAGAAAGAGGTTGCTGCCACAAAAGACTCGTGCATAATGTTGTTCTTATTTTGTTTTAAAGTGACTCAGGCTATTTGGCCCAATAACTAGTCGCTTATTCATGATCTTTATTAATCACGTCACGTTATAAGAGGGTCCGGTTTTAGAGGCCTCGTGCGTGATTTTACGCAGTGCCAGTCAAGTGATTTGGACGCGACAATGAAGTTGGTTCAGGGGTGGTTCAAAATGACGACAAATAAGCAGGCAAGTTTTGTCGTCTCTCAGATTTGTGAATTAAACATTTCAGAATTTGTTGTTAAATGAAGAACCGAAACGCAATTTTGTCACCGCTGCATGATTTCCGGGTTGGATTGTATTCAACACGATGGGAATGTGTGCGTTGACCAGAAACCACCTGACACCGCTGCGCTCACAGGTCATGATACCGTGCCAAGTGCCCGACAGTGTAGTCGATTAATATACGTATTTCCCCCTCGGTCTTTATCCAGGGGACACACACCCTTTTATCAGCAAACCTATATCCACTTTCCGGGTATACACAAAAACCTCCCAGAAGCATTGTTGTTTACTTAAAATGTTCTCCACCGCGTTTTCTTCCTGATCAGCGGGTTTCTTTTTCGTGTCCATTTTCTTCTCGATAAACAATTTGCTAAAGCACCCATAGGGCAAAAAAAGTATTTGCCTAGAGTAATACTGCATACCACGTCCTCGAACTGGATTACGGAAGAAGGAAAAAAACGTTTGGCCTATTTTTTTTCCTTTGCTCAATGCCTTCCCTTAAGGAGGCTGAAATGTCAACATCATAATCATTATGCTCTAAGAATCTAACCAGCAAAGGAAATAATGTATCGTTTGATCTTCCGATTGTGTCTTTTTAAACAAAATCATCCCCGCTAAAAGGGCCGCTTCACCCCCCCCCCCAGGAACCGTAGGAAAAGGCTAATCCTGGCAATATCTGGTGAAGTGCAGTTCTTACAAAGTAATTACACTGGACAGCAAAAGAAACTTGCCACTTCTGTCAAAGGCCACACATAAAAAATTCACTCCATAGAAATAAACAATTTTTGTTCACAGGTATGCTGCAATACCCCATACTAATCACATGCCCAAAAGCAAGTGATTATCTTATAACAAAGAAGAAATTAACATGCACAGCAACTTGGTTACTGAATCAAAAGTCACATTCAAAAGCAGTCTCCATCAGGCAAAAATGACCCATGAATAGACAACATATTAAACAACCAATGACAAAGTGAACACCTGGTTTGTCAAAATGATGTGATGAGTGGTTTCTGTATAGAGATGCCATCCTTACTGACTGCTTCATTTCGTCCTGTGACATTGATTTCTGCGTAAAATTCCAGGCTCATTCTGTTACATTATGTGACTTTTGATTAAGTAACCAAGTTGCTGTGCATGTCAAATGCCTCTTTGTCAGTTGTAAAGATAATCACTTGCTTTTGGGCATCTGATTAGTTGGAGTATTGCAGCATGCCTGTGTACAAAAAATGTTTATTTCTATGGAGTGAATTTTTATGTGTGGCCTTTGACAGAAGTGACAGGTTTCCTTTGCTAACAAGTGTATTTGGGTTGCCGATTACTGAAATTTTTTAACGCGGGAAATGACTTTATTTCGTCATGGTCCAATCAGCCAAATTCGTTGCCCTGTCTTTTGCTGCTGCTGTAGGGTCGATAAGCGTGCGTGAAGTGAAATGCGTCAGATGAAATGTATAGGGATAATCAGAATTACCAGTAATGTTTCACCCTTTTTGTCTCCCATTAGCACATCTGATGAATCTTTGTATGTTTATTAGTGATTGTTCCGATCTTTTCATTTTGGGAAATTGTCAATTGTAAGCTATTCTAAAGTTTCCAGAGTAAATACCACTCGAGTTAGAGTTCGCTTCCATTTGTTTCTGAAAGGACTCAGATAACTCTTGCTTTGCGATCATATATTCAAGTTAACGGTACGAATCAGACCAACCATTATCAGATTTCACCAAGCACTAATACTAGCAGTATTTTAACCCTGAAAAAGCAAAGCCAGGGCCGAATTTGTCTCCGCCCCCGACATTTTCTCTGCTCTTGAAGCAATACATTTTATTCACAGATCAAGTCCTCCAGCGTGTGGTGCGATAATGTCTTGCAGTCATTTTGACACAGATTATGTTAAAAATTCAACTTATTGTTTTCGTGAAAAGCTTATTTTGCCGTGAGAGATCAGTCAAAATTTTCTTTTTCCATTTATATACGCAGGCTGCCGCATGCGTTGTGGCCATGAATTACATTAACGGTAACAGAAAACCTTAAAAGACCTATCTCCCCAGCTTCAAAAGTTGTACAAGTCTACCACACTGCTCCTCAGGGGCATATCCAGGATTTTTTGGTTGGGGGTCCGGAAATTCTTATTCATACAGGGAAGGGATGCTACTAAATTGTCACCATTGGTGGAGCCACTTAGTCTTTTTGCTTTGTCCTTAAGCGTACACGCAATCTAAGACCCCAATATGGTATGCACCGTTTCTTCAAACCTTTTGCACCCAGGCTCCTAAAATTACACCCAAAAAATGGTAATGAGCGTGGAGTTGACCTCCCCCACCCCGAGCTGTGCCTGCTCCTTTAGCTTGAATGGAATACCGTGTAAGCACCACATACCACTGTTTTCTTTTTCAAATTTTCAGGAACCCATAAGAAATACCCAAAATTGAAAAGCTGCATTCATTCTCACTGAACGTCCTGACGGTTATTTTTTCTGCACATGGAGAGCGAGAGTTACCAGTGAAATTATCATGACGTATTGTATGTTCATATGGAACGTTCAAATCAAAAATAAAAATGCTCGACCTACCTCCTGTTTGCGCTCCGACTGGATCGCCAATCGCAAAGAAGCAAAAAGTTACCAATATCAGCACGAATCGTTTCAATCCCTTGCTGACATCCATTCTGAAATGTCCAACAAGTGGATGATATTACTGAGGTGTACGTACTCAGTTCGCGAAATAGGTTGTCGTGTCGCTTTCGTCTCAGTTAATGGACATGGGAACCGTCAACACACATAATGTATACGTCTCGACCAAATCCAAGGCGAAGAGGAAATGAGTACGTAGGCCCACACAAATTGTGCTTACAACGGATGAATACATTAATCACTTACTGCACTTGGAAAAACTTTTATGTTTGCAGGTACCTGGATGACATTGAATGCAAACGGTCTGCTGCATTTCAGCAAAGTTCGGTCGAGTTCACGGAGGCTTTTTTTTTAACAATATACCCATCTACGCCCACCAGAAACCAACCCAAACCAGTGTGATTTTTGTGACCCATGCTAAAATTAATCCATTAGGGGCCTAAGGATTTAGGTTTCGAATCATTCTGTTATTCCAAACCTCTTTAGCTTGTAACACAATTCTTAACTTCCTTCAGGACCTGCTCTGATCGTGTTGTAAATGGCAACAAGCCCAAAACAGACTGTGCATGCGCGATGTTCGAACTTATGTTAACCTTAACTGTTCTCAATCCTCCGATATAAGTATGATCATGGAGGCAATTCCTACCTCTATGGAGGGTGTATTCCATACACCCAGGGGATTAGGGTCACCAGTTTTTTTTTAGTATACCAGTACCTTCTGGACATATTTTGCATAATTATCAACATATACCCTTCGTTAATTTAATAACAAAGACAGCACAGGCCAACTGAAAATCATTCCACTTCTCCCAGGCCTACTGTTTTGGGAGAGGACGGAAGCTGAACGAATGTGAGAGCTTCACTCACAAGGAAATGTGCAAAGAATTCATAAATTACATAGGCCCTATTTAAAGTGCTTTCATGCCGATATCGAACCCCCCCCCGATACTAAACCATTCTGCCACTGCCTTTGAGCTAAGCGGACAGTAGAATTATTTTGTAGGCCCTTTTTGTATTAATTCATGACGGGTGACTGTGCGGAATGCGGAAGGCCTCGGCACCGTTGGGAAAAAGGTGTGACCAGGGTCCCTGGTAAAACATCATCCATATCTTGGCGGAGAGCTATTGTTTGATTTTCACAAAAACATCCAGGAAGGGTGTTTCCCACTGAAAGCCCAAGGCTATTATCTCCGTTTTAACATTATTTTTGTAGAGCTTCACTCTGGCGTTGGTTTCAAGGTCAGTGATGAAGTCACGAGCACGTCTGTTATTGGAACAATGCGATACTGTTGTGTTTGCACGGTGATCCCAAAATGGCCCTTTGTGACTTGAATTTCTTGCAAAACTGTCAGATAAAAGATACAGGAAGCGCGCCAATGTCAGCGCTGAGGGGAGCTGTAAACGAATAACGTGGTTGTTGTGTCCACCCGTCAAGCTGTTAGCTCGGCCTTTGTGGTGCGGAGATATAGAGCCTCACATTAAGAGGTATTTTGGACTTTGCTGATTAAAGTATTGACAGGAATCATGGACGTCGCGCAGGGGTGGGGGCAAGAGGCGGCACTTTCCCTTTGAAAAAGGGGGAGCATTTTAAAAAGTTGGGGGAAAAAACGAAGTAAATAAAAATGCGAGATGAAATTGGCTGAAAGTCGCTGATTTACTTGAAAATCATCGCCCCCACCCTTTAATGGGTTTATCATTTCACCACTAGGTCTAGCTTGCTCTACGGAAATTCCCCACCCAGTGGAGAAAAATGATTTGCCCCCTTGGAAACAATCCTGGCGACGCCCATGACCGGAGGCTTTTAGGGATAAAAAACGACGAGCAAAAGATGTAAAGTGTTCTTGTTATAAGCAGAATATTGCATTTAAAAACAAGTTAACTACGTTTGTGCCCTGGTGCGTATAAGATCACAGTATTACTGTTGTAATCGAATCTGCACTAGGCTTGCCAAGGGCCGTTTGATTTCACGGATCTGGTGGCCTGTTTGTTCCACACGGATCTGTTGGTATTTTCGGATCGATCTTGATCAACCCCAAAGCTCGTTCGCTGCATCCAAGTAACTGTCATATCAAGCTTTTACCAGTTCCACGTGAAACACACTCTTTGTGCCAAAGCGGAACTAGTTCAATTCTCTTCTCCACACACGATCTACACACTGGTTGGTGCATCGTACCCAACTTTGAGATGGTTGACCATCAAATTACCGACAGAGAGAATTCGTTTTCCCTTTATTTGTACACCAAATAGAGAAATTTATGTAAGCACTCAAACTGGCATAGGTTCCAAAGTGGATAAATATTTATTAGCAACCCCAAATGTCGCATGTTAGTGACTGCCGTTTTCGTTTTTACCTTGTACACTAAATAGAGAATTTTATGTTAGCAGTCTAACTGGTATAAATTCCAAAGTAAACAACCGCAGATATTGAATATGCTAGAAATACATTCATAATGGACTTATCACTAAATGCGCATAATTGGCAAAGGGGATAAAAGCGTTAGCAGCCCTGAAAAACGTACGGCACTACAAATTCATTGATTGTTTTCTCTCACATTCTGCAAGTTTTGTCTTCAGCAATATCTGTAATATCATCATAACGACAACTTGAATTTGATTTAGGCCTATTAGAATTTTGAGGACGCGCGAAACAAAGAATAATTTACGCCGTTTGGGAGATTTTCAGAAGGAAAAGCAGAACACAGCCAGAACACCTGAGAGAAAATGATTAAAATTAATCGCACGCCTGCACGTTTTCAATGGCCCGCTCACACTTCTTACTTCCAATGCCCTTTGTGCGCATGCGTGTATAAGTGTGAATTTAAAGGTCTATTTAATGTGGTGGCACCACAGTGTACATTGTACGCCCGTCATACCAACGCGATGTATGCCGGGCCACGCCACGGCTGGTACGGTAGGCCTACATTTCATGTACTAGTACGCCCTCGGAGCCAGCTCTCATTGTGCGACTGGTGATTATATGTAATACTCGCTTTTTCTTGATTTTTCACGTTTTACATATAAATGCAAATACTATTAAAAATGAGCATTTTACAGAATTCGAAAAGTCGTACGCAGCCCGACCACGACCATGAAAATATTCGAAACTTTGGAGAGCCCCTTAGATGAGTTATTTAGTTATATTGAAGCTGTAACGATGGATTTAAAAAGTTAAAAGAAAAATTGCATGTATAAGGACTTGGAGGGACGGAGAACTCTTCCGAGAAGCTCTTCTGTGGCCACAGATCCACGGTCAACACCGGGCGACTATACCCCTGGGCCGTGAATTTAACCTACCTATAATTTCCAATTTCTGAATAGGATCTTACAAGGCATGGATTTACAAGGACACCGCAAAGATGCAATTCGCTTCAGCAGAGGGAATTGAAGAAGCTGAGAATCAAATGCCACCCGACTAAATAACCCCACGTGACCATCTAAGGAGGGAAGTGGCATATTCCTTTGCTTTTGCTTCCAGATAATCCACCCCTTTGGGTCCACCACCTTTCATTTTATTTATTCATTTATCATTTTCCTACCTTACCCCCATGCAGTGGCGTGTAGTGATAGGGGGCACAAGGGGGAACTAGCGTCTTATGGGGGGGGGGCTACCAGCTTTTAGCGGTATGGTTGTTTTGAGGCAAGCTTTTTAAATTTGGTAGCCTAATATCCATTCATCCGTTTATTTTAGTGGGGGGCACCTGGGGGATGGGAATTGGGTGGCACGTGCCTCCCCCCAGAACAGCCTCTGAGACATTAGCAACGTGACGCATAACTTGCACAATGGCACCTTCATGTAGGAGAAAGGCCTGATCACACACGGTAGCGTGGGCCCAATTAAAAGATTTTCATTGGCAGATACTTTATGTAGCCGTACCCAGTCCACTTTAACTACAAGCGTCTCCGCAGTGACCGCAGAAGGCCCCGGGGTACTCGTTGGGAAAATATCGACTTCATCGGCGAACTGTCTTGTGCTCGAGCGAAGACCATACATTTCAAAACAAATTGCAAAAACTTGCTCGTTACGCAATTGCGTATCACCAACAAGGCTTGTTGGAAAAAGTCGACTTCATTGGCGCACTACTTGGTGCATGCTCAAAGACTGTAGACCTACATTTCATCACACGATTGCATCTAGGCTAAATACACATAAATTAAATGCCACGCAAGGGGCCTCCTTCCTATGAAAGAAAATTTTGTTCCCTCGTCCTCGTGGACGAGGGCGCTATTTTGGTTTCAGAACCAATCTTCATTGTAGCAAGTGTTGTGGCGTATATGAGTTACCGTAGACAGTATACTTGCGCATGGCCGGAGGAGGCCTGCTATATACAGTGTACATGTACAGTACATACACATATGCATGTACATGCACACACATTCAAGAACGTATTCGCGTGATCAATCGCACTCTGCCATTTGCCGCAATGGCTTCGAGTTCGAGTGTGTCAAGAGCTGGCGTATTGTCTCTGGAACAGGGCACCAAAATCAACCCTGATCTTCAGAAGGAGCGCGATACTGGTACATTCAACCCATTGGATCTGACTTACGAGATCGATGGAGGGAAGGACATTACCGAAAGACGACAATACATCGGTAATTTTTCATTGGCCCTAGAGAGGTCCTAGAGGAAAGAGTTCAACAGTTCTGGGGTATTGATGCCTGCGTCTGTGCACAGCTTTGAGACTTGTCTGAAAAAATCTAGGTCTATCCTAATTAATGAGTTACGTTACCATGGTTACTTTAACTTACTATGTCAGGCCTACATGTACATATAAGTTAGTCTGAGCCCATGGTCTGAGTAACTTGGACTCTGCAAATCACCTCTTTTAATAACATTTGGATATGGTCAGGCGATAGTACTAGAGTCGAATACTGGCATGACTGGAGTTACTGCAGACATGGCAGAAGTGCCTGCCACTCTAAAATTAAAAACAACCCCTGGATTGACTGGTTACGTGGTTACCAGGTGAAAATCCCTTGAGAAGAGTGACACTTTTACCTGTCTGGCTATGAAGTTGATCATGTCGGGGGGCGGTGTATTTTGCAATTGAGCTCAAGGCTTCCATAGGCTTTCCATCCCATTAATTCCTTTTACTAAAATACATGTACATGTAGCTTGTACTCTGAATCAAGATCCTTTGAATTCAATTTCATTTCCAAAATGGTCCTCAAATTGTGTCAAATTGAAAGTCACCATCTTGTTCAAATACAGTTGTATAACAATTCAAAAGTATTTTAATTTCCTGGAGATGACGTTTTGGTGCGCCGGCCCAGCGGATGATTCACAATAAGCATGCCGTGTGGGCACGCGTGCTGACAGCTGATTCCTAAGTGCCACAACTACATGTACATGTTATTAGGATACATGTACATTTATGCATACAAGTACATGTATAGTATGTGTATACTTACATTACATGTACATGTACATCAACATCCATGTGTAGACTGTGGTACATGTACATGTACATGTAGGTACATGTACATACATGTACGATTACAGTATGTAGTTTTACTTGCACAGATATTTTTGGCAACTTGCTTGTAATTGCAGTAATTACAATTTTATTTTTACAGAATCGCTGGCATTCAATGACCCCGACTTCCAGTGCAAAGATGTCGCCTTTATGACAAGAGAAGAGAGCTACACTAACAGCATCAGAATAGCCACCCTTTGTGTCAAGAAGTTGAAAGAACTCGACATCAATGACATCACCGAAGCCATGTGGTATAGAAGGTCGGTTCAGATATGAAAAGGAAAGATGTTTGGATGTACCGATACAGTTCAGAAGTCTTTCATGCATCAAGCTTTCACATGTTCATATCGCTACATGTCACATTCAGTCCTTTTAGCAATGATATCCTCCATTAATTACATGTACTTATCAGTACATGGTCATGTACAGTACCTGAACTCAATTTGACTGTCCTGGAGTTCAGTATATGACAAGTTCTGTAATGCATACATGTACATGTACGGTACGCTGTGCTTTTACAGAAGTTGGCATAACCACTT